GCAATGAGTTAGGTATGTTGTCTTCTTCGACACTCACATACTCACTTGCCAATCTGATGGTACCTTTAGGTTCATTGCTATACATCCTAGACAGAGTGTCTGCCAGAATATTGTCTTCGCCCAGCAGGTAAGTGATATCGAAGTCAAACTCACTCAGGGCTTCCAACCAATGTGCCTGTCTAGGTGAGAGCTTGTACTGGGTCAAGATCCACTCCAGGCCCTTGTGATCAGTGAATATTTGGAACTTGAGGCCGATAAGTAAGTGTCTGAATCATTTAAGTGATTTGACAATGGCTAATAGTTCTTGCTTATGCACTGGGTAGTTCTGTTGTGCTGCATTGAACTTCCCTGACCAGAATGCTATGACACTGGCTGTCCGCAGGTCTGTGCCTTGCAACAGGACCCCACTCGCTCCAGTTAGTGAGCCATCAGTAGTCAGATTCATGGGCTGAGCATCAGCAATTGCCTGGGGAAGATCTAAGGCCTTCTGCCAAATGTTTTGGTGAGTCTCCACACATGCCTTCACTAAGTCAAACACTTGCTGATCTGTAGGGTTTCAAGACTACTTTGTCATCTGAGCGGCTATTTTCAACAAGTGCTGCATATTGACATGAACACCTTCACATCCCGATGCAAGGTAGCCAATGGAACTGATGAACTGCATTAGGAGTTCCTTCAAGGTAGGCGTCTTCCAGTTGACCACCTTGTCGACCTTGTGAGGATCTAGGCATATTCCATCGTCATCTATGATGTGGCCAAGGATACAGAGTTCTTTCTTGAAGAGTTGTAGCTTGTGCTCACTAAAGTAAAACTGATGTTTTCTCGGGGTATCTATGATGATTTTAACATGCTTGACATGGTCTTCTGCAGTGTCTAAGTATATCACAATGTTGTCAAGATAAATGTCCATGAATATTCCTATGTGTGGACTGAATATGTGATTCATAAGGGACTGGTACGTTGCTCCAGTGTTGCAGTCTCCAATCTGCATGACATGACTGATCATCGTGCCATCCAGTGTCTTTATGCACATCCTCAGGAACAACTCAAATCTGCTCGTAAGTGTCCTTGCCATCTAACAGAGAGCGGAATGGCTTCAAAGACACATTACATAGGATGGTATAAATATCAGGGGAGGCAAGTTTCCGGGTGTTCTTGCTGTGCTGACAGGTGTCCAATATAGTATGTAGCTTTAGTGATCCATCCTTGGTAGTTTTCTTCATCATGATCATAGATACGGCATTAGTCCCACTGAAGAACTCCCACCTGCTAGTATGGATGTAGTCATCATGTTTCACCCTCCACAGTGGACGCATTGCCTTGGGACTGTCGCCATGAGTATACCTTGTTCTCATTTATCAGAGGTATGACATGGTTAATACTTCTCAGAGGTGGCAGTGGAGTCTCATGTGCTTCTTTGCAGATATCCTTCGCATAGTCAAGCAACTCTCTCCAGTATGACTCAGTTACATCCAGGTCCAGGCTAGAGCCCTTCAGCTCAAGGACTTGAGTCTGGGCACCCTTGATAGGTAAAGGTAAGACACTTCTGAATTTAATTTTGGGTGGGTTGAAATCTAATAGGATCTGATTTGGAACAGAAAAAGCATCCCAAGGATCACATTGTATGCTTCCAGGTCTGCAATATTGAAGGAGTGAGGTCCGCTGATGTCCTGGCACTTTAGATCAATGGTGGTGCTTGCTTTCACAGTGCTACAGGACCCAGATACGGCTAGCTGTAGCGGTGTAGGTTTACCCAGCAGTGAGTATGGGAGTTTTAGCTGATTAACTACAGTACTAGAAATGAAGTCAGTCAGGGACCCCGAGTCCAATAGAGCTCAGCATGGGATATTGTTGACCAGGACTATGATGACGAGTGATTTGGGAAGTATTCTGATTGTAGACTTCAGCCTTGAAGTGTCACATTGAAGTGTTTGAACATCTAGTGCATCACTTTGTTTAGGTTGACTCCTGCAGAAGAGATTACTGACATTATTGGCACAGCACAAGATCGGCTCATCACGCTCAGTAGAGACTCATCTTTCGTTGTGGGTGTCTTGTATCACAGGTAGGTCTCTATCTTCATCTGGCTCATCAGCTTCTTCCCCACTACTAATTTTAGCTTCAATCAAGGCAGGAATCTTGGACTTGCTCTCCCCATAGTCATTAACATCATTCAATGAGGGGTTTTCTATGTTTGGAGTGGAGACAACACCCTGCCAAGTCGGTTTGAATTATGACTTAGTAATTATATTATTAAGTCATCATAATTTTGCAGCTTGTTGTTAACTAACCATGAGACTATATCAAAGTCAGGGTCATTCATTTGTTCCATATAGATGATATAGTTGTCGTAGTTGTGCTTATCCGACAGAAGGTAAGTGCTGGGTCCTCCATTCTGGGACATACTGAAATGATCTTTACCCAACAGGGCATATAGAGGATCATATATTTCATTAGTGGGTAGGGGAACACTTTGCCTCAATTTGGATAGGGCATCAGAAATGATGGTGAGTATCTGTATCACATCTAGCTCCATTTCTTCCACCAGGTTAACAGCCATCTCATATAGGCCGCTTGTAATGCCTTCTCCAATTATAGCATTATAAATATTGTTACTGGTGATCCCGACTGCATGAGCTCCAATAGTAGCTACTGTTGACCCAGGTCTAAATGGAAGCCAGTGTCGTCTGGGGCAGTCTTTTGTGAGATGTCCAGTCTGCTCGCACTCAAAGCACTGGTTAAGCTCACACAACCATTTTATTTGATCTGGGTTCCTTTTAGACTTAGATAAGGTCTATGACTGCAGATAGGGGGTTTGTGTCAAGGTCTAGGTGGCTTGTTCCCTTGTGCTGATGACTCTGACACGGTGTTTGCAGATATTTAATCAGTCCTTTTGCGATTCAGGTTGCAATACAGCCTCAATTTTTTTTTTGCGAGCTTGGTTTACATGGGAGGAACAGCTTGCTGCCAGGGTTGGATTGAGAGCTAAGAGTATATTTGGGTCCTTGGTATTCTCAAGGTATGCTCTTTCAGTGCACAGAGCTTTACGTTCAACAGTGTCTAGGCTCATGGTGTTTGGTTCATAGCCTTTGTCTACTAGAGATGCCTTTATATAAGGTTGGCAGTTCATCCAGAACTGCCTTATTATTTCTCTCTTGCCAACATCACCAATGGTGTCTGCTATGTTGTGCAATTGGTGCAAATAGTCTCGCACAGAGAGCTTCACACATCGGGGTTATCAATATTTAGGAGATGTTTTTATGTTGTATTAAATGCGAAGAAAATATTTAAAATTTAAACTGACATAAAGATGGAGACATAACTTCAAATTTTGGCAGTGTTTTGGATGAAATACAAAATTTGAAGCAGTGGCAACCATATTCCCATCGACCATATGCCAATGACAATAAGAAATTAAATCAGAATTTCTGCATGTGCTCAAATTTGAAGTACAATTATAGCCTAAAATGTCAGACAAAATGTGAAGTTTGGGACATGACCATATGCTTGCTTATGTATGAAGTTTTGTCAGACAATTGAGACACCCTAAAAATTTGAAGTTTACACCGGCAACAAAATGTGATGACGAAACTTCAAGTCTCATCCTGTGACAAAATGGATCCCAGTCAGGAGGAATATGAATCATGGCTTCCATATAATGTACTAGGCATTGTAATTATATATGTCTGGCGGCAAACCGGTTACATAAGTCTGGCGGCACACCGGTTACATAAAATACATGAAGAGTGACTGCCATATTGACTAACAACATTGATAACATGAGGATCGATGTAAGGGGGCATGCATACTGCGCATTGTCTTGACCTAATTCCCCATATGTAATGAAATTGGCGAAATGTGAAGGGGACCGGTGTCATCCTGTAGATGCATCGAAGTGCGCTTCTTCCCAAAACCATGCGCTCCTGAAAATTGTACGTGATAAGGTGAGTAGGCAATGGGTGGCAGCCGTCCACAATCTTACTATTTGTCAGGCTGTTGATGCTTTCCCGGACTTAGAAAACTACACTGGTTTCTGGCCATTGAATGATATGATCATGATGCGTTTGAAATATACATCGGGTCGTGCTAGGCAGAAGGAAGCAATGATGGCTGCAGGTAAGTCCAAGAGCAAGACTAAGATCAAGAAAGATTCATCAAAAGTAAGGGTGATCCTACTACGAAGGCCATAACTAATCATATCAATCTACAGTAAACTCGATTCATACTATGCCCCTGTGTACCGCATTTTACTTGAATTAGTAGGGGTTAGCATTGCTGATTTGTCACCTTGTAGAGCACCATCCAAGAGATAAATAGCTAGATATTGATCAGCTGGAATATCAATGACATACCATGACAAAAAATGACGTAGACGTAGTGCGGCTCACAAGAGGGCAATAAATTGGTCCCGAGTAGGCAGGCTGTAGCCAGTCCTCTGCGATGAGCGGGCCCACCACTGTGTGCTAAGTTGGAGATATGGAGCCTGAAAAGTGTCCCCCTAGTAGTACAGACTGCTGTGTAGTGTAAGATGTTGAATGGACAGAGAAGCAGCGGGATCGGGAGTAGTAAGAGCACTGACTGATGGTAGATGTGACTTTAAAGTTTAAGTTTAAACTTTCCGATGATGTGATTTGGAATTGATTGGAAGTGTCGCCTGATAATTAAGGTTCTATTCTTGCATGCTTGTTTTCAATCACCCCCGTCAGTGTGATGGTCTGTACAGTCGCATCTATCCAGAGCTCACGATGCATGTAACAAGAATGACTGCCATCATGACGAACTTCATAATGTATTACATACAGATCATTATATATACTTCGAATCAAACTACCTCGCCGCTGATGACCCTGGCAGCAAGCTGGTGGTTGACCCAAGTGCTCAAGGGCTTCACAACAGTGAGAGCACGTGGGAGCTTTGCTTGCGGGTAGTGTCTAATGCTTCGTGTAAACCTGATGGATTCTATATCAACAAGGACTCAAGGAATGACAGTCCAATGATGCTTACCGATCCATGACGAAGTCTGTGAGTAAATTGTCCCTGGCTCGCATATTCACAACAGAGCCGGCACTAGTACCACTCCTCATGACAACTGCATCACCTCGGAATATATGGTCAATGCTGCTGAGAATTGGGTTGGCTCTCAGACGGCAGTGCCGCTTGAAGCAAACACAAAACTGATATGTGTGTCTTCCTTCATGCAGGGTGACAAAACAGTTATGCACGTAAGGCTGCATGGTTGCAGAATCCAGGAGGCTCTCAGGGACAGGAAAACGCTTCGCCCTGCGCGAGCGATCAGAGCATCATGTCAACATCGTGACCTGGCGAGGTTTACCCCATGATGAAGAATACAACCTACACCACAAATGAAGTTCAGCAGTCTTTATGTCTATCAGTAAAAATCAAGAGAGAAGCGAGATCATAACTTATGGATGACATGGGGAAGACATAAATGCAAGTGTTGACCATTGCAGCACAGGAATTACAAATGAAATTAGGTAATCAGTCTAGGCGACCAGTGCAGAAGACAAGGAGTGAATGGTAAATTTGAAAGTGAGTGGTGAAAATGGGCGATGAAAGTGGGTGATCTTATAGTAGTTTTGTACTTACCTTTGAAAGTTTACCTCATGCGGAGTGCAGAGCATCATCCCAAAGAACCGAAAAACTGATCACCATATCTATTGTCTTTAGTTGTTTAGCAGAATGCAGAAGAACAATAAATACAGTTTCATAAACGTAAATATCTGGTCTGGCCTGAGCTTAGGCTTTTTAAACTCTTTTGTGTAGTTAGACCTGGGTATCAAATTTATGTTTACGACATGATCACCACCAAGACGAAGCACCCAAAATGATAGCAGAAGGACCCAAAAAACAAAGATAATGCAAGGTCGTCAGGGTGAAAGTCCATGAAAAGTGGGGATCATGCGACAATGTTATTAGAATAATCAAATCTAAAGACAATAATGGCGGTCATAATAATGACAGTCATATATAAGTAAGGATCCATACCCCAAATTCAAACAGTGACGACGCCGACTCCTATTATCATGTCAGAAACACAGTGCCATATTCACATTGAGCAGGAGGACATACAAACAGCCTTTGATGCGGACTTGTTTGATAAAGACGACAATATGGAAGGCGCCGAGAGTCAGACCACAACCCAGTTTGACACACCACAATGTATGATGGCTGGCCTAGTACGTCCATGTTCATTGAGCGAGTGAGAATCATGCTGAGCTCAGTGACTGTTCTAGGTATCGGCAGAGACCTCCCATATGAACCTCAAAGAGCCCATAAATGATGTCGCAGACCAGTCATCAACTTGGACGACTTGGTTGGACAAGAGGGGGCCTCCGAGATGGACTTGGACAATGTCACAGACCAGCCCCCAACAAGGACAGATAGATCTGCTTGGCAAGAGGGCAAAACAAGTCACTGATGTGGTACATCTAGATAACATGAATGAAGGTCAATATTGTATTAAGTTTTATCCAGGTACTACCTGACAAGCGTCGCATCAAAGAAGTTGACTACTCAGAGACACTACGCCAAACCATGTACAGTCAAGAGGAACTGATCAACAATATGAAAACGGTTCGTAGTATCTCACTGGACATTACCTATATCTGACTCGTGGCCGCCATAGGAAGTGGAAAAACAACAGAAAGATTATGTGCACAACATGAACGAGATGAAACAGCAGTGGGAAACAACTCTGAGAGAGCGGGAAGAGCAACTGACAAAGGCCCAGGAGGAAACTGAGGTAATTCCTGCTGCAGCATGTGACTACCAGACATATACTCATGACCACGAAGAGGACCTGCATCCAGCAGCAGCAGCAACTTGAAGAATATATCAAAAAAACTCGCAAAGTGCTCGGCCAGGCTAATCGCGAGGCAATAGAGGCCACTATAAAGAAAATCCACGAGGACGCTCATGACCACCTGGCATGAGAATGGACACAGCAAGAAGCAGAACTGAGCGAAAGACTGGCCCAATGCAAGGAAGAGTTGGCACGAGAATGGACACGGCAAGAAGCAGAACTGAGTGAAAAACTGGCCCAACGTGAGGAAGAGTTGAAGAGAAAGACAAACGAAGAGGTGAGGTGAACGATCCAACAAAAAAATGGCTGATAACAACAAACAGTTTCAAGAGCGCAACAATGCAATATTAGCTGAGATGGACCAGAGGTTACAGCAAGAAGTGCTGAAGATGAAGGCAAGAACATGTTTCATAAACAAATAGAAAATATGCTGAATTACTCACCAGGCAGAAAAAGAGAGCGAGCTGGCCAAGATGGAATGGAGATTTTCCATGTGTCACAGGCCCCAGGAGAAGGACATAGAAATGGATAACCCCACTATGCCGTCTCCGTCCGCAAAACCACGATCAGATACCTCATGCTTTGAAGCAATAAAGAGGATAAAGAGAACTCACGGAATATCGCACAGAGTTCGCCTTGTATCAGTAGCAGCGGAGGTAAGTGTTTGATGCTGTTGACTGTGATGTAAACTTACACAGTAATAGGTAGACGAAGAGGAAGTACCTCAAGAACACTCATCTGAACAAGACGCACCACCACATCTACAACATGACACGTCTCCTGCTACCACAATGGAAAACGTGATTGCGAGAGGCGTAGAAGCTGCACTGAGATGCGTTCTGATCGACAAAGAATTCCCGGTCATCAAAAAGCACAGTCCCCGGAGGAGAAAGATAGAGGAGAAAGAACTCCAGCAAGAGAAGGCGGCTGATAAAAGCTACGAAAGAGATTTTATTTTGGTAAGCCAAAACGTGGTATGGAAGCTGCGACTTACAGTTATGTATAGGGAGAGGTGCGGTGTCTCTTCAAAGACGTTTTCAACATGTCTCAAGACACCGATTTCATACTCCATCAGGCAGCTAGTCGTGAGGATGTCTACTCATATGAATATGAAGACAGCCCAGGTCCCAATTGCAAAGATCTTGCCTTTGATCTCAGATGCAGATCCAAAAGCCCCTGGAATGATAAGGTCATTGGCTTGCTCCTTGAAGAATTGCAGAGAAGGGGTGACATAGAGAGCTGGCCATTTCAAAGGTCAGAGGCATATTTCATGGAAATTCTTCAAGCTCGCTACAAGCGCCTGCATACGATCTGGACGGCTGCACAACCCAAGGTTACAGCAATGGGTGGAGTGGAGACTCCTGCAGAGGTGGAGCAGAGGCTGATTACGAAGAAGGACGAGACATTGAAAGCAACTCGTCAAACAACGCGTTGGAAAAATGTATGTCCATGAGCTCCATACTAATCTGATACTGATGCCTTCTCAGAAATATCTTCGCAGAGACATGGTTCTTAACCATCTCGTCAAGCACAAGATGGACGAGAACGAGGAAGACGTTGCAGCCTGGCAGTGGCTTCAGCGAGTAGTTGGGACATTGGGAGAAGGCGGCATGAGTTCGGAGGAGAGCGACGTGGAAAATAAAATCAAAACAGTTCTTCATGTCAAGAACATGACTTGGCGCCATGTGATTGAACAGGAATTGGATATTATCGATCACCAAAGGATCGTAGACAATGATATTTTTTCCCCCCAAGGTTCAAAGCTGATGAAACAGATACAGTCAGCCAGGAATCCAACGACATCCAGAAGAGAAGTGGATGGATTGCCTGAAGTGTTGTACAACAAGGAATGGCTCGCAGGTTTGACCAAGCATCAAGTCAAGAGGTTATCGATCTCTGATGGAAGAATTCAGTGGATGAGAGTTGTGGTAGCATAGTGTTGAACAGTGTACCGTAGCCTGAGGGATGGAGACAGAATTAGAGTGAGAGTGAGTACATACCATCCCGTGTCTCAAACTCATCCCTTGAATTTGTGTTAGGGATTGATTGAAGTCGGAGGGGGGAGTCGGGCGACGAAAGAATGACATGGCAGTACATCCCACTGTATCAAGAGTCCAGGACGAAAAACCCAGTCAAAGCCCAGTATCCAGTAGACACGACAGTACAGACTGTCGTGTCAAAGGAGGAGAGGACAAGGGATAGACGCGACAGTACAGACCATCGCGCCAGGTAGGGTTTGAAATAAGGAAAGTACATAAGAATATAGCAAAGGATAAGCTTAAGGCAAGCCAAAAGTAAGCCTAACTTAGAATCAATTTGTTGGACAGTACAAACACCTGCAAATAAAGTCACGTGCAAATCCAACCTTCGAATTTGACTGCAGGCCCAAATGTCCTTGTCAGCATCTTGGCTCAGCGGTCTGTACTGCTTCTGCTCTTTGGCTCGTAACCTCCATCACCCAGCGGTCTGTACTGCTGGGCATGTTCCACCTGTGAGTGTTTGTTTGGCCATACTGTACTGCTGGGCGTGTTCCACTCAACTGTCCGTGTTTGGACATTGCAATGTCGGCACTTCTAATTTAAACCCTGCAGGCTTGTTCTTCAGTTTCAGTTAGGCCTCCTGTCAAGTGCTGATCACACTTGCGTGCAATGGTCTGTACTATTGCTCGTTATGTTTCTCTCCTGTTGTGTGCAACGGTTTGTACTGTTGCCCATCTCCTTCCATCGCCCAACTGTGCCACCCATGGCAACTACAGTTAATCACGGGTCATTGAAACATCACAGGTCATTGAAACACATCCTTGTTTACTCAAGAACGACACAAAATACAAGTCTCAAATTATTCAGAATACATAAAGATCCTGTAGACCTCGTTTATTGTTGAGTTTGAAGTAAACTTCATTTGAGAAATTGCTGGAGGCAGAAAAAATGAGTGCTTACACAGCACCAAATCGAACAGTTTCAAAATTTCACCATCGAGTCTCAACTCAGAAGACTCATATTTTACCAAAATATTGCATGTGTCAAGTGTAATATCATGTTGGCTACACAGAGAGCATACTCTTGTTGAAATTTGAGTCATATAGCACATGGTACGGTCTAACAAAGGGTTTTCGGCATCCACTGTGACAGGCCCATATGGCATTCAAGATCCGAAATTCCGAATTACAGTTCCACTCAGTGAATGAACTCGGCCCACTGTGTATTCACCTTTCCATGGCTGGGCGAGCAAAATCTATAACTAGGAAGCAGCAAGAAGCTCACCAAGCACACAATGATCTTATGTTTCGAGCAGTGTATGCCTACCGCAGAGAACTTGCAAAAGCACCAGGGATTCGATGTCGTGGAGCATGGACCATATGCAAAGATTTCGAGCAGATCAATCTGCAGTCAACGGGCAAGCTCATTAAGCTCTCATATTGCACACTGATCCGGCTTGCTGCAGGGGGCCGCAGTAAGGCAGAGGCTAATGCAGCAGACAAAAGCTGGCTGACAGAGGAAGAAGCTGAGGTTGTTCTATCATTTACAGAGGAGACAGGAAACCGAGGCTTCCCACTAAGCCACCGATGACTACGAGAGCATGTTAACGAGATTCTACATGCATGGCTTGGAGATACATTTCCTGGTGTTGGCAAGCATTGGTCATACCGGTTTGTTGAGAAACACACTGACCGCTTGAAGACCTCACGATTACGCTCACTGGATTCAAAACGTGGGCGGGCAGTAAACCCCAATACCCACAAAGAGTGGTTTTCACTGCTGGGAGCTGTGCTGGAAGAGAAGTGCATTGACGAAGACTGTATCTATGCTGCCGATGAGATTGGCATATCACCTGAATCAGGAATGCGCGAATATGTTATTGGTGGTCACAAACCTACACCCCAATATCAGCAACGAACCGGAAGCAGGGAAAACATCACTGTCATTGTAACCATCTGTGCCGACGGTACCTCAATTCCACCTGTAGTCATTCTGAAAGGCAATGCCTATCAGACGAAATGGCATCAAGAAAATCCTGCAAACACATCGTAAGTGTTCATCATATAACTCGAAAATCACAATATAAATCAAATTGCGACACAGCATTGGATACTCTAAGAAAGGCTGGACTGATGGTGAAATTGGCGTGGAATACATCAAAGATTTTGATAAACGCACGAAAGGAAAGGCCAATGGACGAGACCAGCTACATATAGTCGACGGTCATAATTCGCACTACACTTTGGGATTCTTGAAGTATGCACGAGCTCACCAAATTCACGTCATATGTTATCCCTCTCATACAACTCATGTATACCAAGGACTTGATGTTGTGGTATTCACGGTGCTGAAGAAATTCTGGAGTGAGGAACGAGACAAATGGGAGAGAGAAAAGGGTGAGGGCATTACAAAAAGCAATTTCGTCACAATATATGGCCATGCTCATCTTCGAGCACTGACCCCAGATCTAATTCGCACAGCCTTTTGCAAAACTGGTGTCTGGCCTTTCGATCCCACTGTCATTAGTGAACAGATGATGGCACCAAGCAAAGAAACTTCCTGCCAGGGCCATCTTCCCATCATGCCTTCGAGTCCTATCAGAGCTGTTGCCGACTTCCTGCAGAAATTAGCAAACACAGATAACGTGGCTTCGGAGGCACCAGATGATGTTAGTGTCTCAAACACACCATCTGAGTCAACAACAACTTCGGATGTCGAACTGCTGGTTCAGCAACTCAACAGGGCATCATTATCAGACGTAGCATCCACATCACCTGCAACATCAGAAACTCGACTCAATCATGCCATCATTTCTCCAATCAAACAAAAGCGAGGAGGTGCTCTCAACATTCAGCCTAGAACACACAATGAAGTACTTCTCCTTGCCGCACTTCACGAAGCGGAATCTGCAAATGCAGCTCTCAAACGACGAGTAATTGAGCTCCAGGCAACCAATATTCTCAACCAATTGTATTGTTCACAACTGCGTGGACAACTAGCAAACAAAGAGGCAAAGAAGCAATCGAAGAAGAAAAATGGCAAGCTGATGAGCGACGGCTTGCCTCAATTATTGTCCAGCGACGAATTTTACGAGAGGGTTGTGAATCACGAGAAAGAGCAAAAAAGAGTAGCAGATGATAAGAAAACGAGAAGGGAGGAAAGGGAACGAAGGTCCGAGGCTCTGGCAATATGGAAAAGACTTGAAGATGCGAGAAAACGGGAGAACAATGAGCAACGCACTCGATACCGCGAAGCAGTGGAGATCTGGAATGAGGAGAAGTCAAAGGCCAAGCTTTCAAAGTAGAAATTCACCTCGAAGAAGCCAGTTTTAGGAAAGTTACAGCCTCCTGTTCCAAGGCCAAGGTTCAATACCTGTGAGGTGGATGATAATGAGAGTGCAGAAGATGTTATGGCGCCAGATGAGGACAGCTCAGAGGACAGCGACGACGAACGATAAGGCTTGGTAGATAGCTTACATAATGTCGGATAAGGAAATAATCATGTGTTTCATTGAGTGAGAAATCCCGAAAACGAGGTCCCCCACTATATTTACCATGGGGCTCAAACTACTAGGAATCTACTCATAAAAATTATATGGATCTATTCATGAGATGTCTGTCTATATAGGACAAATACAGTAGAGCCTCAGAGTTGCGATGCGATGGTGTAGTACACTAAATATGAATTTTGCGTTTCAATGACCTGTGATTAACTGTACTCCCAAGCTCGGTGTAAACATGCTGCTGTCGGCTGATCTCGCCGGTAGCATATGCATGGCTACTCACAATGCCGATGAAACACGGCAGCCAAGCACAATTGAACAGTAGAGAAATGAACATGCTGCTGTCGGCTGATCTCGCCGGTAGCACATGCACGGCTACTCACAATGCCGATCAAACACGGTGGCCAAGCATAATTAACAGGCGAGAAATGAACATGTTGCTGACAGCTAATCTCGCCGGCAGGACATGACCGGCCAGTCACAATGCCGGTGAATCAAGCATGGTGATGTGGGCAGATATCCATATTCACAGGTATATTTACAATTGTTGGGACACAAAATTGTTATCCACACTAAACTACAGTGGGTATATATTGTATTGTACATTACATGATATATTTACGCCGGCATTGTGCAATTACATTGCCGGCTCACCAGAAACATTAGAGTCCTCCGCCTCAGGAGTCTTGATGGCGATTGGCAAGCATGCCGCATCCTCGTCATTGGCTGGACCAGCAGCCAACTCATCAGACTCATCAGCAGCGATATCTGTGGGGGGCGCCGAGGAAGGTGGATCGACGAGGCGGTGAATGTCGGCGATCTTGCCGGCGAGCAGATCAGTGCGGTTGTCTTGCGCATCCAAGCACGTGTACGCAGCTTGTAGCAGCTGGTCGCCTGCCACCACCTGCGCTACCAGGACTTCGACGGTTGAACGAAGCCTGGCAACTTCCAGCTTCAGTGCTTCCATTTCCTGGTCATGGGCGACACAGGATGGCGGCAAGATGGATGATGGGCCGGCGGCCTCGGGATCGTCCAGCGTTTGGGACGACTCGGGATTGGCAACCGCCGGTGTTGCAGGAGGCACCGGCTCTTCCTCGACCAACGGGCTGGCGTCTGGAGCTGGATCTTCTAGATTGGGAGTTAGTATGTCTTCAGCGCTGTAGAAATCATCTTACCTTGTATCGGCGAAGGGCGGCGCCAGGACTGAGAACGCGCTTGGCGGGCAGCCGAGGACTTGCCTTTGGCTGAGGGAGGGTTGGAGCCTTTCCCACCGCAATGAATCTTGAGGCGGCTGCACAGCGCACAAACCTTCAATGTCCGGCCGTTATTCTTGTTGAAGCCCTGACGGCAGATGAGATCGCGGGCCACACATTGGCCACAGCGAGGAGCCCATTGGGCGCCGAAGTATCGGCGAACTCATCTTCCGTCAAGATGGCACCTGAAAAGTTGGTAATCTGTGCCGATGGGGAGTCAGATAAGGCGACAACAATATGATCCAACTTACTTTCTTAGCGCCCATCTTCGGCACGACCGTGATAACGCGCTCTTCATTGGCGTCCATCTCGTCCTCGGTAGTGACCTCTACATACCGGTCGGATTTGCGAGACGGTGGGTCTGCAACTTAGAAACTTACTTTAGTTGGCGGTGGGGCCACCTCGTCAGAGTCCTCATCAAGCTCATCATCGGTCGTGATGATAGCCCTGGACTTGCCGCGCTGCTTCTTGGAGATCGCCGTGCGGCTTCGGCTACGGGCGCTAGAGGCCTGGGGACGCTTGCCACGCTGAGTTCCTCGCCCCCGTTCTTCGGCAGGCAAGGTGGGAGCTTTTGAGGCGCCGGCTTGAGGGGACGGCGACCGAGACTCACTTCCATAATGGAGTGTGGCGGGGAAGAGGGGATGGCCTTGAATTCGGCGATCATCCCCTCGGATCTGTGTCCACACAGGCGGGCTGCTGATGCCGGAGTTGTCGCCGTCCACGTGCTCCTGCAATTCGGCAGCGGCCGACAGGATTAATGGTGACAAGACTGTCACCAAAGCGCCGTGTGTCATGAAGACCTCAGTCTAAAGAGCAATGAGACATGCCACACAAGCAAAGAGAAACTTACTATTGCCTGCGCCATGTTGGTGGCAAGTGAGATATGGTTCGAATCCTTGGGCTGCAACTGGCAGGCTTGCCCAAGGATATGTTCAATCTTATCCGACAGATCGCGGAAAGATTGGTTAGCCACTGTTTACACTCAATGTGCGGTGACCGTTCACCATTAGTAGCATGCTGCACAATGAATTTGTGGATCTCCAAGGATGTGGCCAAGCGCCAATCAAAGATACCCGCCGTGAGAATTCAAATCCCGACCCATTGATCTATTTAAACCCTGTTTTGTACACATTGCGAGGTCAAAATTCATTCTCCCACCCATGTCTTCCCAACAAGACTTAGAATTTACCTTGAAGGATTTCACACAAATTTTCGAGCATGCCAGATCCCGCCTGCTCGCCATTCGCATTGAGCTTGAGAAAACAAAGCTCACAATATTGCCGGACGATCGGCAAATATCTGAATTGGGACATTGAAGTAAGTTCAACTTGTCCTATTTTGCACAGAGGTCAATTGAACTTCCAGGCTTACACACTCCCTTGGATGGCGTTTTGCGCCGGGTTGTCTATCAACCCGCCACTTTCAAAGCACCTCCGTCACATGGTTGGCGTGCTGTCAATGAAACAGCTCGACATGCTGAAAGATTATGCGGAGGTGTATGACGCATTCCTCAGTTTGCCGGTTTCGCCATCCGGGCCATGGACTAAGGGCCGCCGCGTCCGGGAGTATCGCCATGCTTGGTGGACGGACCTTGCAACCATCAAGCTGGATCGAAGGTTCTTGACAACTATCCGGACGGCCATGAGGTGAAGGAATGTGTCACAGCGCATTGTGCGCAAATGGTGAGTCATTGACTTCGCATGGATGACAATTAACAAACGCCGGTTGCAGTTTGAGGGAGACGCCTTAGTCACACCGGCGACACCGGTTCAAGCAATGTCAACACCGATTGCTCAACAGCTAGCCACCATCCGCGCTGAGGCTAGGGAAGAAGGTGAATATCTTTTAAAGATGTTGGAAGACAAGGTTCTAGAGGCGAAGATGGTGGCAGCCACTATGCTGAGATTGGACACGGCATTAGGGGATGATGTACTGCAAGCCATCACGGCGTCCGACAAACTAGTGAAGTATTTGAAAAAAGAGGCGACGGAATAAACGCCGGTTTGAGTAGTTAGCTTGAATGTGCTCCATGTAGTAATAGTTAGAGATTCCAACCATGGCTGTCTTGACAGGATGCCGGTTCAATGGCTCATGCAAATCAACAACGGCCATACCGGTCTCATTTCATCTATAACAACTTGTAGGCATGGCGGTCAATCCTCATCATTGCCGAAGCTGCGAACGACATCGCCGGGCGGACAAAACAATGGCGGTGTGCTCCGGCGATATACCGCCAGCCTGACCATCTCAGTTAAGTTACTGGCTCACATGGTCCTGGACTTAATATTCACGCGGAGACCGGCGGAAGCAACTGCAATGCTGCTTGACCACTTCCGGCAACTTTTCAGACAGCTGATAGCAGTGCGCCGGACTGCCCTGCTCGTGGACATAGATTGGCTACCATTGCCGACAACCTCCGGCCACGCCGATGGGTATCATCCTGTGTGCTTCGGCGACAGTAAACGAATCGAGCATATATTGAAGCAGCCTTTGCCGTTCACTATACTAGTGTGTTACACCGGCAGCCATGCAGCCTTCGCCCGGTTGAATGAATCTCTCGCCTCTCCGAACAGACACTGATAGATTTTGCACTGCCTCTCCGAGTACGCCACATGTCCATGCTTCTGGGCTAGCTTCGAGATGGCACCGAGACGGATCCATTCATCAGCCTTCCAAAGCAAAAAGTTACATGTCCAATCCATTTCATGCTGAACAAGCAACAACTCTTCTGCCCATCAGTCTCTCATAGCCTTGGCATGAAGCCAGTGAACACGGTAAACTGCAACATCGGCGGTATAAGCGCCGCTTCCACGGAGTATCGGTGACCTGCTCACACTCATTCAGCCAGTCACTGCTATCGGAGTCCCCTTCGACATCCAAAGACCAAAACCAAGCTAACACATTGTTCCTCTGCCCTCTTGAATTTGGATCGGCGACGGCAGTACTGACCTTGAGATGCTCCCTTGTCAACGGTTGGTATCTCTTGAGCAGTGCATCGTCTGCGCCGAGTCTGCACAATTGTGATCGGCATTTTGAATAGATGCTTGCATTGATGCTGACCGCCCTGTCCACTGAATGAACTTGAGCCCAAGCTCTGGTCGACAACGCTTGTGATTTTGCTACTCTGACAGTCTTCTGGAAAATGACCGCCTTGTCAGCCAAATGCACCCTGATGTGGTGCAGGGCATCATTCGCCTGACCTTGCCAGAGCGTGAGTTCCTGATCGGCGATATCAGCAATGCCGAGTGCCGCACATTTCTCTAGCCCCAAATTGGAAGGCAAAGGAATCACCCCCTTTTCCGGCTCAAACACTCTAAGCTCGGCGTCCATATCTTCTTCAACGTCTTCTTGAAGTATTAACAGATCTGGTTGCATGATCTGCATGTCATTGTCGCCTAAGTCCTCGCCAAGAATTATTGCTCCGGCCGCCATCCAGCGATCGATATCCCGTTGCAGGGTATCACGTCGGCGACCAATCGCCAATCGCTGAGTATCTGTTGCCCGATGTCCGAGCTTTCTCACATCCATCTGCAGCGAGACCTGGGCTTCCTCGATAGCAAGGCCCTCTGTCAGCCACGTTGCCGCACCTCTCCGGCGCGCCTCGCCAGGCCGCCGGCCTTGCACCGTTAACAACCTTAACTCTTGCTGTTTTCTGGTCGGTGCTGTGCAAGAATCAGAACTGACTGTCCGTACGAGAAGTCTACATACCTTTGCGCAGTTGAACTTCATAAATGTCCATTGCTGTTGGATCATGGCGCCACCGTTCATGTGCCAACCTCTCTTGGGCCTCCCAATCTTTGACTTTATCGGCATCGGCGCTCTCATCAAGCCGCTCAAATGCCATGTTGCTGTCGGCGACCCCTTTCATAGCTTCCTTGTATTTTCGGCAAAGCGATTTGCCTGTACGGTCTCTGCTGTCAGATTCATGCACACAATAAATGAGACACCCACTCATTCTGATCATTTTCATGAAGTTGCAATCATTCATTTGGTAATCCAGGCATTCTTTTCGGTGAGGAGTTCCCATCCCACGGGCCGCCGGTGAGATTATATTTAACGGCGCCCATAATGTCTCCATGATCTCGCCGTCGATCCTGGCTGCGCCTTGTATGAAATTGGAAGCATATCTGACATAGCAGCTGTCTTGATGGCCATGGACATGCCATAGTCCGATGCCGGGGGTGATTTCCAGCTCGTCATGCATCTTCAGCAACGGACTGTCGGCGATGCGGTCCTGGAGGTGCTTATGATACTGACAGTTAACATCATAGAAGGTCAATACACGGTGGATGCCCTCGGCGTTCAGTTTCAACGCCTCGCACAGTGCATGATCCATATTCATCTGTCTGTTGACAGTTGGCGATAACGCACACGGTCCGAGTGATTGTACACACCTTTCTCCCTTCTGAAAATCTACCATGGCGTGCGGGACAAAACAACCATGCCTCGCACATGCGCATCCGCCGATGCCGGTGGCCTCCAATCTGTGACGAGATGCATTTGCCAAATTTACCGCGCGGTGGTTGTTGCACTCTGAGTGTTGCACGGCATCCTTGGCAATGGCCAAATGCTCCTTGTACAAGGCATCGCCGACCATGAAGCCACGACCGTCCATGAGAGACACTTCATCGGCAGGATTTGTGGCATGCAGATGCTCGGCTTTGAAGTTTCCGTCCATGACAAGCGACCTTGTGTATAACCAACTCGGAGTCTCTCGACCAGATCCATTGTTAGCATCGATGTCCTCGGCAGTGCCTCCGGCAGGCAATGTGACATTAATTCCCGGCTGAGGACATGCCGGACAAAAGAGGGCTAGATCGCCAGGTCCCACTTCCTTTTCCTCATGGCCGAAGCCATTCCACTTCAGGAGCTTCAACTTCCGCCATTGTCTTGCCACCCTCATGAGCTCCCGGTAACGGTCCTTTATGACAATTAATGAAATGGCAGATGGTGCACCACAAAGCTCACCGGCACCAAGTGAGGAAAGATGCTCGTGGTCATCCTCCTTAACTTGCTGTAATAATTCATCGCCGAAGTCCCGCACTCCAGGTTGTCGAGTAAGAAGTCGTTCAAGACATCGAAGGTAAATGCTGTCTTTGGTTCTATGAATGACGCCAGAAACAAACCCATGTTAAACAACTGTATATCGGCGGCGTCAGCCTCTGGGCATGTGCAATACTTGACGATGTGGGTATGTACTCCGGACTTGTCAATTATTGTTGTCATGGCCTTGTTGTTCTTAATGAACGGCACGCCGGTCGGTAGGTCATGGGCCTCCTTTGTGCTCTGCTCGGCATTTGGTTCATTCAATGTGCTCTCGGCATCCGTATCGTCGGAATCTCCTTCCCCTGTAGTGAACAGAGCTGACTCCCCTACATCATCATCCCATGGGCATGCATTTCCTCCATGTCCGAGCCAGATCACCATCCCACTCTTGACCAAGCAACTTTCCTCAAAGAATGAGCCTGTCCATTGGCTAACCCGATGAAAGGGAAGCCTCTGGTGCTGGGTTCTGCAACAACTTGTGCAAAAGAGAGGCTCACCGAAGCATCCATGGCATTTATAGACACCATCTGTCCCACAGATGATACATGACCTATCTGATGGAACTTCTCTTTCAAGGAGTATGTCAAGATATGCTTTGGTCTTTGGGACCCATTGACGTATATAGTCATTTTGACTCTGAATACAGATCAGTGGTGAAATAGAGGTGATATCGGTGGATGGCTCACCAGGGACTTTGGCAGGTGCAGTGGAGTCACCATGTGATCACCAAGGTCGCCTGAAAAGTCATCTCCCCCATGGTAAAGCATACCATAAGATTCCTGCTTTGAGGGAGACTTAGTAGGGGTTGCTGGAACCGATCTACTAATGATAGGTCTCTCCACCCATTTGCCGACCACCTTTCTCGTCCTATATGTTCTCTGCCATTCTACCACTGCATACTTACATTTTGGAGTCCACTCTTGTAGTTTAGAACCTCCCATTTGTTGAGCCCAGTACTGTATAAGAACCTGTAAGAATGACAAGTTTCAATTGACCGATGGGCAACATGGTCATATCAATTAATCACCATTGGTTACAAGTACATAATAAGAATTATAATATAAGCTAAACCGAGCAGAACACAGCAATCATATCCGCTATATATCCATGATATGAACAGTAATATAGTGTGAATGAACCGAGCAGAACAGAACAAAACCATGGAACACCAATGACAAGTCAACCAACTGTTGTTGAGTCTGGAAAGATTCGCCATCACCATCCTTTATAACACAACATGCCAAGAAGCAAATCTCCTATCGTGGTTCCACAAAAAAAGGTTTGCTTGCAGAAGGCTGAAGTGTTGGTCCTCAGAGCCCACCTAGAAGACTGGAAGTCTGTGAAAGGTAAAGAAAGATTGAGGGTGCTGCTTGCCATCTACAAGGAAGCGTCCCTCCAAGCTCCCACCAAGGAAAAGGCCCTGTTGAAAGCTCGGCGAAAGGTATTTAACAGTTTATAACATATCAGAGATCCCGGAGCATGATAACATGTCTGTCAAAGATTTACAAGCAGTGGTTGCAGAACCAGTCTCGCCGGAGAGGAGCTGCAAAGCCCCTTATCAAGTATGGCCGTCATTGGACGGCGAGGCAAGTCTTGATTCACACACACAAAGCCTCGATTCGACAGGAGACGGGAGAGATGGCTGGAAGCGAGGGGATGATTACCAAGTGGCCGAAGGCAGCAAAGACAGTCATTAATCGTTTGTCGGCGGAGGAGAGAGAGGAAGCGGAGGCCAAGGCTGGCGTCAGAGCTGTTTGACGCGCCGGGTCCGGCACAAGGGCCTGCGCCGTGACTTGCTTTCGCACCGGAAACCCAAAATTGAAGGTTCAGGGTACAGCAGGCCTCGTATGGGCCAAGTCTGCCGTAAGATGGCTGTGCGACTTCCCAAACCCGAAGTTGAACCCTAAATGGAAATAAATTAACAATCATGCATGCCACAGAAACATGTACTTGAAGGTTGGTTGCCGGTGTTGGAAATCGGCGAGTTGGAGGGTGTATCGCTGTTCGTGGGCAGCTCGAAATGGACGTGACGGTTGGTGGTCATATTGCAGAAAAAAGTAATGAGGTTTCAGATGTGAGTGAATGGAAGAACCGTCGAAGACACGAGCATTAAATATGTGCCGATTAGTGTTGTGGCCGCATCTGCGGGGTTTAAACACTTAGCCAGGACAATAGATTATGTGCGTGTGAAAGTTGACACGTGGTGCGAGATGTGGTCAGAGATCAGTGCTTCTGAATCCGCATGCCGCCGCATGGTACGAGTGACTGAGCCGAGTTCGTATCATGACATGAAATTTTAATTCGTTCATCTGCCATATAATGACAAGCGAATTGTCCCCATTTTTGTTATCTACGCTCACATTCCCTGCTCGTCATGCCATCCTCAGAAGTTTCCAACAAGGCCTTCAATGAGGTAACCGCCGGCGTGCTCCAAATTTTGGCAAGAGCCTTGCAGTCGAGCGAAGGTCCCGCCGGCCACCTGAACATGGCCACAGAGATGGCAAACATCATGGTCAGCATGTCCTCATTAGTCATGCACTGTTACCTAATTAAGCACAGACTCCGGCATTTCAAACTCATGCACGGTCGGCGACTGAAATCCCGCCGATCTTGCTTTCGGCGGCCATGGAATTAATGGAGCATGTAGATCGTGTTAGTCAGAATCATTTCTTAGTGTCCCGGTGTGGAACAACATCAAGTTTAACGACTCTCGCATCGAGCGCCATCAGTTATATGGCAAGGCTCACAAGGTAATTACTGCATCGGCCCCAGCGCCAATGTCACAACCTCCAGATACACCACCGGTCGAGGCGACCACAAATACACCAGCGGTCCCTTCAGTGGTAGCAAAGTCCAAGCCACCCGGAAGATCTGTCACGCGGAAGACGCCGATAGACTTGTGTGAGGACAGTGACGAAGTCGAAATTGTTGGGGATATCACCGAAAGCGATGCTCTCCAGAAGAGGAAGCGGAGGTCTACTGGTGCATCCGAAGAGGTCGCCGTGTGCCATGAAGACAAGGTCATCGCGCCGGCGCTTGTAGACAAAGCTGAGGATGTCGCCCCAGGCAATACGAATACAACGCCGACTAGACCAAGGCCAAAGCTGAAAAGCAAGCGGGTGGAGATAGTAGTCTCGTCTGGGTCTGAGGTCCCAACGGATAGGAAAGGGAAGGGAAGGGAAGTTACGTTGCCGTCAGAGACACACCAGCGGGACCGTGAGCGGAAGAAGTCTAGAGATGTGAGTTCTGGCAGGCCGCCGAAAAAGGCCTCTAACCATCCTCCGCCGATGCGAAACGCTGGTGATCAACGGAAACCATGGTATGAGGTTCAGGTAGGGAGCTTTGTCATTCCATCTTTATGTTTGTCTCATTACTGTATCCTCCAGAAAAGGGCCAGCACTAGGACTGCCACACGTGACTGGCAACAAAGTGAAGCTATGTTGGCGGAACAAAAGGCAATGGTCGCCCCTGAGCCTGTGGGTTCCAGGAGCACGGCGATGCAGGCTGATGTCAATGCTGTAAGCTCCCAAAATGCCTTAAGTCTTCCTCCATCTTATTCGGTAAAGAACACTCCCATCGCCACAATTCCACTCACGCTGCCTCCTTGTCCAACTCAATCGCCTCCGTCATTCGCCAAAGAAATGGAAGTTGACGCGTCCGGTGACACGGTTGCAAAGGATTTGCAGGCCATGACACTAGAGGTGAAACTTGATTCGGTGTTGCCCCTCACGGCGGTTCAGGACACCATCAATGACCTTCAGACTCAGGTGGCCGACATCCGAACTCGGAACGCCAAGATGGCCGAGTTAGTTCAAATCATGAACGGGCGCCTTGCTGCTCAGGATACTGACATCCGAGCTATGGAGAAAATGCGTGCCGAGATCGCCGGATTGCAAGAGGAGGTGAAGGCCTTGCATGCCGAATCTCAGACACGTGAGGCTCAGATCCGGAGCGCTGATGCAATGTTGACTGCACAAGGACATCGTACCGCCGTCCTGATGGATGCCTATGAGTCCATCCGGCAACGTGTTGTCCCCAACCCACCCGTACCTCATTTTAATAATGCTGTGTTCTTCCCCCCGCCGGTCATCCAGTCCCATACAGTCAAGGCATGAGCGCCGGGCAGGCGCAGGCAATGGAACAGCTTTATTTCAATTTCACCCCAGGTCCGTCTACAATCGCAGGTACTTCTGCTCCAAGTATCGCCGCCGCACGCGCCGGACCTTCAGGTTCCCAGATCAACCGTCCCTTCGGTGAATCGGCATCTGGGAAGGGTCCCGCCGCTTAAATGATTTCTATTTGTCAATATTCTTGCAGTCGCCATGTAGTGGTAGATAATTCGGAACTGCGCAATCATATTCTTGTTAAACTTTCACTATTGATCACCCTCAGAGACGCGCCGTTGTGAGGCGCCGCCGCAATGGCGGTGATTGCCTTACCTTCCGGCAACCAACCCCGAAGTTGTGGTCCGTCGTCTTTATCTAGGACGTACACTATACTGCCATGTTTGCATCATCACGTTTGTGTTATCCATTCATCGGCAAGGCTTGGGCACGTGGCTTTCTTAACCGGGGGCCTAAGATTCTTTTATGTCATTATCTTACGTCCCATCATTGATTCCCGACAAGTGGTAATTATAAAGGTGTTGACCAGTCAGTGATATGGTTGTGTCTGTCCCCGCCTCCATGAGTTTGGTCCCTGCTGACTGGGCTTTGGCCACCACTCATCTTGCCAGTGACTATGTTTGCCGCCAGTTCTGTGCTATTGTTGGAGTGACGCCGAAGGTCCTCCCGCCGCCGGAGCTTGATGTTGTTTTGATGCTAGGTTGCTCCCACCTCGCAAGGATTCTCGCCGATGCATATCTCAATCCTGGTAATGACCTTTCCATGCATCTGGCGCTAGCGTTGATTTGAATTGGCTCTAGTCACTATCAACTTCGATATGACGAGATATTCCGAAGTACTGCAAAAGCAGGAGAGAGGTGTTAACCCCGGACGTGAAGAATTTCTCCTCACCCGATACCCGCCGGATCGTGAGATTATCCTGGAGTGTCCTGCAGTTGTCCTCGACAAATTTGGTCTTATCGTGCTATGGTACCTCCCCGGAACAATTGATGCTGCCATTCAGGTAGGCTTGCACAAATCGCCGATGATCTCCGCTCACTGTTACAGAATGACATGCTTTCGGCGACGATGATGATGTCGGGCCCACTGGGCAAGAGTATCACCCGTGGTACATCGCCGAAGGACACATGGCGTACCCATGAATCCAATTTTCAAATCAGTGAACATGGCCTTACCTCAGGGTGCATAAATCTATCGCCGGGGTGGTTCCTGCAAGCTCATCCGGTGTGTTGACTTTTCGGAACAGAATATTTTTGCCTGATTTCTTCATAGGCTCCACAGTTTCACCCTGAAGTGTCGGCTACCCTTAAAAGCGACGATGGTGCGGCTTACTGTCGGGCGATGTGCAGACCGGCGGCCCTTGTTGCCGCTGCGTTGAGAGTCATGCACTCCGGTCTTTATTGGTCATCGTTGACAACACAACTGGGGCTTGGGGTTTGGGCAGAGACGCCTCTGGGTCCGTGCGTCTGCTTAACGTCCCTTGGGGTTTCATTATGATTATGCGGCCAGCCCATGAGCTCCGAGATAGAGCGCTGGGCCCAGCCGTGTTCATGAATGTGGTGCTCCAGGCCCATCCGTCCGCCGCACATACAGGGCCCGGGCCTATTCAATTTCAGGAGACCCGATATGGGCTCCCTCGGGTGCCTTATCGCCATGGCCCCAGCTCAGCCACATATAAAGAAGTATCCGCTTGGGCCCACCACCCCATTCATCCCACCAACAATGAGCCCATTGCTTTATTCTGCCTACCACGTGGGCCCACCAGCTGCATCCAAGCATATTGGTAGGACCCGCCGGACTACATCGCTGGTGTGCTGAGTGATCTTCGCCGGCCGTTGATTACTTTGCACATCCGGTAGTCCGCTACATACGCCGGCGGTCATTGACCTTATGATCCGCCGTCGTTTCATCACCGCTACATTCGCCGGTGGTGGTATTTCCACTCACTGGTTTACTTTTACATTCGCCGGAATGCCTCATTTTTTTGGCCGCTGGCAATTCATCGGCGCCAGTATTCCAGCCATCTCGGAAACTCATGGGCCCACTCGGAATTGTTGAATCATCCCTGTTCCTCATTACTGCGAGCCCACCTGTAAACACAGTCTACTTCATCCAGACCCCTGTCAGCCCACTGCAATGTTTCGAAGAATATTGGCAATGGGCCTGCCCATAACAATATGGTACACAACACCGCCGGGCCCACCCATGTACACCGACATACACTCATAAAGTGGGCCCATGTCACATGGAGAAAATGTCAAGGTGGGCTGACCATAAAGTAAGGTGATATGTCACTGTATTATGTGCTGAAATAGAGATTCCAAGACCATCAACAAATGGGTAGGGGAATGCGGGTTGTTGTTCGATGATAATAGTATGATTCGGAAGTTGAGGATGATGAGCGATAGCTCTCAAGAGACTGATTACGCGCTGATGATTTCATTGTGAGAACAGGATAGATGGCATCAACCAAAGGAAGATAGCCATGCGAGTAAAGTCCTTCGTGCAGGCCCCACCATCCACTATGAAGACTTCATCCCTCATCAAATCAAGAAGTCGCTGAAGTTTGGGTTGGTCAGCATCCACTCGCACGTCTGGATTGATGTGAGCGAGGTCCGGTACACTGTGTTCAAATGTGGCGCAGATGGTCATTTTGACTTCAACAGCAAGAACTCGGAGATGTTCGCTGAAGGGGTACGTTCATTTTCTGTACTATCATTGATGGAGGGGATGGGGTTAGAAGAGTCTTTGATCCGGAGTGCGGGCGAGTCTCGTCCTGTGTGGGATCCCATGTGGGAGGCTGCTGTGAACCAGATCTCTACTGCTGTGTATCTTACAGCATACTGCTGCTACGTGGATTGGCACCACCACAAGTACAAAAAGCGCAAGTTATCGCATCAAGCAGTCACTCAGGCTACCACTACTACTTCCGGCACTTCGCTCTCATCTACCGATCCAACAGCTGGGTCCTCATCCGACCCCACTACTTCATCCTCATCTGACGAGCCACACACGCCCTCCACCGGATTATCGGTTGATGTTGAACTTGAACGTGCAGTGAAGAAAGCGAAGGTTGGCGACGACAAGTCTCCCAAGGCAAAGGCACTATTGTTTTCATCTAGTAGGATGTACCAGTACGAGCCCGCATTACTATACTATATTGAAGGTCATTTTGTACTACTAGTATGACATGTTGCAATTTTGAAGTGAGTCACTGCTAGTACTAGTAGGAGTTCATATCCAAGGTCGCACGCTCTCAGTCTCAGTAAACAATGAAGTTTGAACTTTGTACCAGCCAGTATTGGCAATGGACAGTGTCCATCCTAGTATAACATCTAAATTTCTTGAATGTGACTTACCAAAGGACATTCTTCCAAACCCATCACAGTCTTCAACATCGCATTTGGACACCCAATCAAGTACTACTACTATCAATACTAGAGAAAACTCACCGGTATGTGCACTACCGAACTTGGTTGGGAAGTCAATTTTACCTCAACCCGAGCACTGCTGTTCTGAGGTCTCCAGCACAACTGGACCATTTATGAACAGTACTATTATCTGCAATACTCCCTCTCCTTCAAGATGCCCATATCTCACAGAACTACTATGTCCGGGGCTTGTCATATCCCGCATTCTGGACCAACATCCGACGATGTTCCCACGCCTCATCCGGACCTCCGAACCTCCTGTCCATGTCTCCGTACCTCGTTTCATTTCCGGCTTTATTTTCCTATGTCTTCATCTCCGTCTTCATTTACTATTTTCTGATAGACTAGTGTTTGACTTTTCTATACCCTCCGTCCACAGCCTCGCATAGCTTCAGACTGCGCTGACTGATTCTCCGTTATGTCCTTTGTAGTATATAAACCCTGTAAAGTCTCTATACTTCCTCAGTCTGAATATTACACATATTAGTCCTTGCACTAGCCTTCACCCTAAGTCCTCATAACAGTTCTAGTCCTCCGACTTAGTCATTATCCATCTCAGGCCTAGGGAGGAATTCCCTAGGCCAGAGCTCCGATCCTCTGCTCCTCCACTCCTCCAAGTTTCCGGAAGTTCCTCCGGAACTTTCCTGCAGTCCTCCGGACCTATTCTGCTTCGGACTTTGTCCTTGCAGCCTTTCCTCTGTTTGCTTCTACTCAGGACAAGTCCTGAGTAGCCATTACACATATCCCTGTCAGGACGAAACTCCATCGTAATTTCCAGAAGTTCCTCTGGAACTTTCCCGCACTCATCTGGAAGTTGCTCGCACTCGTCCAGAAAGTCCTTCCGAAGTTTCCCACGCTTCTCCAGAAGTCCTTCGGACTTCACTGGACTTTCTCCGGACTTCATTCTGAAGTTAAGGGCACATACTCGGGTAAGGGGCGCAGTGCACGAGCTGAAGCCAAGCCCCTTGGAATCAGTCCTACCCTTTTTGCACAGTCTTAACAGGGCTGAGCCATGCATTTTCTCTGGGACAATCTGAACTCCCAGGGCTATTGGCGCTTTGCAAACACACAGATCACCTGTGTCGTTGCACCATTTGACGACACCGGGCATCACGAATTACAGATTTTCTGCGACCACAGCATCAGCAAAAGTTTCAACTCAGGAGTTAGCCTGTGAAGACAGTGATGATGTACGTTCATCCACTTCTCATATGAAGTTTTCTAGTTAATAATGAATTTTCCTTACTACTAGGAATCTACCAACTCCAATGACACCAGTCATAACAAGGAACTTCAAGCCCAACTTGTGTTGAACGTGACGCGAGCACAATGGGACATTTGTCTTGCAGAGAATAAACTTGCAGACTGCATTCTTAAGGAGAACACTGCACTTGGGGTGCTCTATCAGTTCGAGGCTACAGAAGCCGAGAGAAAGTTAGAAGACATCAATATGGACATTGGTTATGTACACCACTCACTTCGCAAAAGCGGTATCATGTTGTACGAGGACTCAGGCTCTGGTAAGCCTCCGAAACACCGTCGCACTTCTGCTAGTAGTAGTCACAGTGAATGGGACGTGACATTACTGCCAGGTACTAGTACTCACTTGAATTTACTCGAACACGACTCACATGTTTTTAAGGATCTGTGAGCAGAATCTGAGCCCGCACAGTGGGACTTGTACCACTAGAAAATTCACAAAGCGGACCCATCGCGATGTGTACTCGCATTATTCAAGTTGTTTATAGTATACTAGTAGTACAGGTGTCTCCTACTGATACATATGTGCCATACTACTAGTACTAGTATCATATTGCCAATGTTATCTTGCCAGTGCATTGTGTTCAACGTTCTGGTGTGTTCAAATTGAAGCTGTGCTACCAGAACCAGACTCCAAGGCAATGAGGAACTTGAAGAAGAAAATAGCACAAGTCAGATCTTGAATAAACCGGCTCACTGATCATGCTGTGTAGCACTATGCCCGGCAACCTTATACTACACATCTGCATCATTATATTACTAAGCCATGACCTAGGGCTACCTAGTGCTATGGGTGCCTGTGCGGCTGTAAGGCACTGTAACATGCTGTAAGCGCCTATAAGAACATACAGTACTGTGCTAAATTTAGAGTTTTGCTAATGTGTATATTTTGGCTCCATTACATGGAATGAGCATGAGTCAAGATACTCTCAGGCAAAAATTGAATTATATGGCTTGTTCTGTGTACTCAAGGTTGCCAAAGTCTGGCTAATTGGTGTCAAGAAGTTTACAGTTAAAGTGAATACTAAATACATTTAAGGCTCAATAATCCAGATATACAGCTCAATGCAGCTATGAACTACTAGATTGCAGGCATCCTTATGTTTCACCCTCAAGCATATACTAGGCTCTAAGCATTAAGGATCAGATAGGCTATCTTGAAGGAGGTATGTATCCAAAGATGATAATGAAGTAGATGAAGACTCTGAAGATATTAAAGAATATATTTTGGCTCACAACAAAGTACCACATAAATTATATTCATATCTCAGCCTACAACTCAAAGGCCAACAGCACCATCAAACATTCATATCACACTATCTGTGACTCACTCATTAAAGCTTATAATAGTTCATGGCACATGTCATTAAACTGCTTCTTCCCTTTGGTATTTCAGAGGCCACCTTCATGCTTCCCAATATCAGTCATCCCCTTCCCATAAGCAAGCTAATTACCATCTGTGCACAACAGCTCATAAAGTGTAATGAAGACTTGGCTAAAATTCATATACAAATTCTCAAAGCCCAGCTGACATCTGTTGCAGATTTTGAATAGTGCTTCTCTCATTCCATTTACAATTATGATTTCAAACTTGGCACATTTGTTCTAGTTCTCAATAAGAAAATTGAGGCAGCCTCAAATGCCAAATGCAAACCCAGATATTTCAAGCCCATGGTAGTAGTAATTTCATGCACTATTAACAGATCATATTGGCTTACTGAAGTTAATGGTGTCATGTCTAAACTCAAGTTTACAGCATTTTGACTTATCATACTTGCTTGCTGTCTAGTCTCAAAGTCATTTAGTTTTTAAATACTGTGAATCTCACTGGTATTGCTCCTATGGAAGAGTAGTTGTGTGGAATCTGGATAGGTGATCAACTAGGACAGTTGATATCTCTAGTAGAAGGGAGGTGTAAGGAAGGCTTCATCTTTAGTACTAAATACTCGCTTCCAACAAGAACTTCAACAATTGTTGACATTGCTTGCTTTAACTCAGTCTTTATTTTATTTTCTGTTTGTTCTTAATGTTTCACATTCTCCCATTATCTATAACTCATGCCACCACTCTATTTATATTTCTACATACATTTCATCTCTTTCATAGTTGCCACTCACACCTTGACAATCTCTTGCAGTATATTATTTCTCATATACCCAGTGAATCAATTCCTATCATTGAACCAAAGTCTTACAGCCAGTGTGCAATGTTTGTTCTATTCAAACTCATCATAGTATTCTCATCTCTATTAATTTATTCTGAACTTCTGCATTCCTCTTTGAAATCAGTTATAGCCTTATATTTACACAAAAATACAAAACACATTACTTTATAACTAAGAAAATAGTTTCTGTTATGACTGAGGTTATTCTTCTCTTAAAAATCAATAATGACTTGTCTCAGTTGAAAGTAGAGTCTATTTTATGAAACATAGAGGAATTAAGGGTTCAGACTATAAAGCTTTGAGGCTAAGTAGAAGAAGATGTTCAAGGTATAACCCAGTATATCTCAATGGCCTCAATATTCTTTGGATTAGAAGTTATGATGCATAACCTGATCTTAAGCTGCAGAGACTCTTGCTATCATCCCTATATGATCTTTTAGTCAGCATAAAAAAAGGCCATACTACAAAAATTACTTTAGTAGATGTTGAGATAGAGCTAGATTATTTTTCTGGCACTATGATTTTTATTTTTGGCATAATTCTGAAACATACAGTATGAGAAAGTCTAGAGAATATTTACATGCATTGTATATAGCTTATGTATGTAATATATTTTTAGAGTTATCCAGAAAGTATGTATAGTAAGAGAATTGGTAGTTTTTTATTATCTCTGTTGCTCTATTCACTTATATTGTAAGAAATGTTTATTACTCATATTCTATACAATGCTGGGATTACTGTTGCAAGGTTTGACAATGCTAACTTGACTGGAACTATTGTATTTTCCAGTGCTTTACATTTTTTTCTGGTTAGAAGCTCGGTACCATCTACCAGATCCTCTATATTATTTCTCAAGTTATTATCATCAGCTTCAATGTTATCACTCCACTCCTTAAGTTATTTCCTCAATCACATTTCCTTCATGTCAGCATAGTATTATTCTCATTTCTATGGAAAGCAGGATGGTCGTACTCATTTTGTCACAGTGACATTTCCCATAATAAGTAAGTGCAAGATTGGGACTCTGTGCACTGCAAGAGCTTCATTTGAATAATATATTGTATTTTCTGGTGCACAGTTCGTGCAACACATGGTTGAGAATTCGTGGTACTGTGTAGTGCAAGATAAATCAATAATACACCATCGCTGCTACGATATCTACCACTCATGTGTCTCATCTTCCTCCCCCTCATCAGAAAACCAAGCAAATAACCCCTCCTCTTCAGCAACTTGGCCATTAGGTAGTAAAGATGTGTCTGGTTCATCCTCCTCTATGAGTGAGTCCAGTCGGTGATGGTCAGATGTGTCTAGTTAGCAACCGACCATTTAGAAAGAGCTTGTTCAAACACATAAAAGATGTACCAAGACTCAGTCCTCCATGTACACCGCCCATATAGTCAGCATCATTGGCACATAACAAATCCCTCTGATTCTTAAGGAGAGGTAAAGGGTCCTCGTTTGTGTTGTCATCAACCATCGGTGGCAGCTGTTCAGCGAGTTGGAGAGAGTGAAGTAAATGTGCCAAACAGATTGGCGGGTGAGTGGAGGCTGACCAAGGTCATCATAACAATGCTGAATAAATTGATTGAGTGCCTGAGGCACCAAGTCGAACACCGGATGATCAGGTTTGACATATACCTGGTGCACATGATCTATGCCGTCCTGATCAATGGTTACCTAGTGTATATAGTATGAAATTGAACTCAGTACCATTAGAAGATTAAAACTTGCCTTAAAATCCATTGCGCCAAATTCTTCGGGGGACTCGTAGATCAGATTCGGCACACCATGAGGGAGAACCTAGTCATTGGTAACATGAGAGTGGCACACATAACGGCTTGAAGTAAATACCAGTACCTTGTTATGATCACGTCTCTTTGCAGTGTTATTGACACAGTCTTGATACCTGTCTAATTCACACTGCAGCCACGGGATGAACACCCATCGAAATACCATGACTTGAAGAACATTGTCGCTGTCATACCAACCACTTACGACGCCTTCGTCAAACAGTGTTTCATAGCCAGGCACAAACCGACGGCATAACTGAGACCAGGCAATCTCAGGCATGATATTCTTCTTGGTGCGCATCCACCGGTGCTATAACATGCCTTGGAGCGATGGATCATACATTTGGCGCAGCATAGTGTGCACATTGGCGATTCCATAGTTCTCAGATCCTGGGTCACTCTGAGCAACCATTGGAATGTCTGGTGAAGCGCCAAGTGAAATGACACCATTGATATCAGTTTAAATGAACTTACAGCCCAGTTTCTCAACGGTGTTGAGATAGTAAGTGAGTATAAGTTGGGGGTTGTGGTTCAAGTGCCAGACTCGCATCCACATGATACGACCAGAGAATGGCTCTATTCCTGTATGCAGCGCGAGACCAAAACGAAGCCATTTATCATGCTGATTGACGGTGAACAGGTCATTCACACCAGCAGCCCAGAATCGTCTCTGCTGAAGCCGGCAAGCTTTCCGCTGATGGACAAGACCTGCCTCATAGGCAGTAAAGTATGAAATGACTATATTCCTGTAATTTCTAGTCAAATTCACTGCAGGTCAGTGACAAACGAATCAAATACCTTGACACACTCATATCTTTCTCATGAAAGAGTAGGGAGACCATTTCTTGTGCACCGGCATTAGGATATGCCTCACGAAGTTCCACCATGGCATCGCGGATGGATTCGATAGTGTGATCCTGTTGCCGAGTATGCTGAAGTCCCATGGCATTACGGATCTCCTTGAACTTCGTGAGACTGCGCATCAACAATCAGAATAAGCGAGATTAACAATGAACAGCGATCAACTGACCCTATTCCATAGCGTGATGTATCGATGACCTTGCACAAGTTTTCTACAATCATCTTGTCCGTCTGACGAGCTTTCCAGAAATGCAGGATATGAGGCATAATCTCCTCAAGAGGCGCTGCCAGTGCATTTGTCAGACTGACATCACAAAAGGTCAATAAGTTCACCTATGAGTTGGCTTCCACTGGTTAGGCATGTCAGGATGCTCAGGAGTTTAGATGGGTGAGGGATTCTACAGTCAGTTTACAATTGAGGCTCTTTGAGGTGTGCCAGGGTACTCACTGGCGTATCAGGCAAATGTAGTAAGTACAAGGGTGTTTGAATGAAGTTGGCGATTCGGGCCGATAGAAATGCTGAGTCAGATAAGGCCACTATGCACGAATGAGGCTGGGTATTCGGTCTGATAGATACTTGAGCAACTCAGGCAGGCAATTCCAAAGGACAAGGCTGGAAGAACGGAGTTTGTGATTCAATAGATATTCAGGCGACTTAGGCAGTGTGGAGAATGGAGTTTGCATTCAGATAGATCCTCATGGTTGCAAGTAGAATAGTGTACTACTGGAATTGCCTTGAAATGAACGGACTTCCGAGAGATTCTCAGATGCCACTGCATGATTGTAAGTAGAAATCACGCTCTGTTGGCCTGCAGCCCAGCACACACAAACAATGGCAGAATGAGGAGGTTCATGCTTAAGTGTGAGAGGTAGTGCAGGAAGTTGGAATGCAGCTTGGTTTGATGTTGATGCGGTACTCAGACCTTCACTGTGACTATGATCACCATACTGCATAAACGGCCTAGCAAGAGTTGCTTTCTTTCCGTGTTTTCCGTTAGACTTCTTTGGTGCTTGCTGCACCTGGCAGGCTCCAAGACCAGGATGATATCACCCTGATATGGATTGTGCGGCTTTCCGGAGCCGCTGCCTTCAACCTACAGTAGCTGGGACTGGAGTCTGGTGCAGAAGGTATAAAATATCAGGGAGTTGGTGTCATTCAAGTCAATTCCCTAGATCTTACCATGGAACTTGTCTCCCAATTCACAGAAGACACTGTTGGCAAAGAAGACCGTGACTGCAAAAGACTGGCTTGCCATCAGCGCATATTCAAGAATGACCTGTTGTCCTGCATGATATGAGAATCATGCAGAACACATACATGACATATTATCCCACATATCTACAGTCTGTTAGCCTTGTCCTCAGACTACACAAAATGTACTTTGAGTATAGACTCGAGTGCAACAGATAGCCTTGTGTGCTCCAATCACACAAAGTACAGTGTTTTGAAGAAAAGTCAAATATGATGGAGAAATCATATATTGACATAGTCTAAGTAATAGGTACACAAAAGCTTAGGTTATTACCTAACTTTTGGCTTATTTACTTTGACTACAAATAACCAACGAGAAAAGTTAAAAACCTACAAAAACCCTAACAAAAAGCCTGTGTTTTGCTTTGTTTTCTTTTATGATTATTCCTACCTTATCTTCCCTATGTTTTTCTTTCATTTCTTTATGTATATGATTCATTGACATCCCAGATGCTTCATAAAATGTACCAGCAAGGTATGATGTCATATGGCTCCACAGATAGTTCTGGCCTATTCTGTTGGTTTCCCTGATGTCACCCATGATGTCATATGATGTCATTGGATGCTAGAATATTCCACTCCACTTGGCTCCGCACATGCTCCACATTGCTCCACAATGAGGTCATTTATGATGCAATTCTGATGTCATTCCTCTTTTTAATCTTATTTCTTGGTACTATACAGTTTTGCTCATCTCATGTATAAAAGGAGAACCAATCTCCACCCAAAAATACAAGAATTCATTTTCCTGTCAAATATCTAAAGAAATCCCCCCCTCACATTCTTCCACTTTCTCTGACATTGACACTCTTTGTGTTAGCCAGAAAGTGCAGACCAAGTAACTAGACTTGTTCTGAGATCATTTTACTCTTTCTTGACTGTACCTATACTGTCTAGTGTGCATCTGATATACATTTCAGAGGACTAGGAGTATCAAGTCAAGCTATTTATCTGTGCCTGCAGATTCCTTTGTTGGACTATCTGCATACATATTTTCAAATCATATAACTCGTAGTTGTACACATCCATTGTATTATTATAGTTGTATAACACACGGTTGGTTATACACTAACATCCTATTTTTTTGGATACATCCTTTGTACTTTACTTCAAAGGAGTCCAAATCAGCATCTTTGATTTGTATTGCATGGTCATACAAATCTTTCTATTTCCCATCAATAAGTCCTTTCATATTTAGGCGGGGGAAATTCTAGCAATATCCGCTACATCCAGTTGCAACCAGTTGCACAACAAGAGACTTATTTGTATCAAGTGTTTTCCATCTAGCCATAGGAAAGGCTAGATATTCCTCTACAAAGTCTACATTATCTGTCTTGCCAGATAAAGTTAGATTTCTCTTGTAGAACATCTACTGTTCTAGGTAGAATCACACCACCGGGCTGTATAGCAGGTAACCTCCCACGAACGACGTGTTATATACCACGAAAGAAGAAAAGTCGTAGACCGCGAACTTGAGGTTGTTTGGCAGCATCTAGTCTTATCAAAAGTGTAATTGTGGTGTCATTGCCTTTTGACCACTTTTATATAAGACACCTCAAGTAAGAAGACACCGTGCCATTACGTTGCTAACATGATTCCTGGCCAGCCAGGTCAGTTAGTATGTGGTGCATGTTACTTAGGATATCGGCAAAAGATTTCATCATTGGTCCGACCTTCAGGTCAGTGCCATAATTACATTGACCAATTATAATGTTAAAGTTGGCCGCCATCTCACTGCAGCTCAGCATTCACCACTTACCCAGAGCATGCAAAGACCTCCCAGCGTGAGTTGTCTACTTCTGGATCCCTCACTCATACACCAAAGCGTGAATGATGCACAGAGGAAATGTGAGTTTTTTTAAAGACAGTGCGTGTCATATCACTGCAGGCATTTTCCCATTTTCCTCCACCAAACATCCAAAAAACATTGATTGAGAAGATAGAAATTTCCCCTCATTTTTCCTGTCAAAACATTGAAAAAAAGTAATTTATGTTTCAAGGATGTTCTGTGTGTGGGACATGATGCAAAAATTGGTCATGTTCCTTCAAGTATAATGCTGTATTTTCCATGTATTGTCTTCGAAATAACAGCTTAAAATAATGTTAATTTTCTTCTGTGTTTTGCAAATATACACAGAACATTTGAAAAACATAGTATATTTCAAAGACATAGAGAAGAAAATTAACATTCTTTTAAGCTGTTATTTCAAAGACAATACATGGAAAATACAGCATTATACTTGAAGGAACATGACCAATTTTTGCATCATGTCCCACACACAGAACATCATTGAAACATAAATTACTTTTTTTCAATGTTTTGACAGGAAAAATGAGGGGAAATTTCTATCTTCTCAATCAATGTTTTTTGGATGTTTGGTGGAGGAAAATGGGAAAATGCCTGCAGTGTATCACAACATTGAAATTTATTTACTAGCTATGATCAACCAACCCCCTGTGATTGCCTTCTCCCAACCATCTGGCAGTGGCATCAGTCGGACTTGTGCACCAGGACCAGATATTCTGGTCCCGCCATCCTGGCATCTTTCACAGAGCTTAGGCCAGCCACATAAGGTTCCTGGTGCCGCAGGATATTCTGCTCAACATGCCCAATATGGTTCAGAATGTGAACGGTTGTTAAGACCATGCACAAAGGGTAGGACTGATTCCAAGGGGCTTGGCTTCAGCTCGTGCACTGCGCCCCTTACCCGTGTATGTGCCCTTAACTTCAGAATGAAGTCCGGAGAAAGTCCAGTGAAGTCCGAAGGACTTCTGGAGAAGCGTGGGAAACTTCGGAAGGACTTTCTGGACGAGTGCGAGAAACTTCCGGATGAGTGCGGGAAACTTCTGGAGGAACTTCTGGAAATTACGATGGAGTTTCGTCCTGACAGGGATATGTGTAATGGCTACTCAGGACAAGTCCTGAGTAGAAGCAAACAGAGGAAAGGCTGCAAGGACAAAGTCCGAAGCAGAATAGGTCCGGAGGACCGCGGGAAAGTTCCGGAGGAATTTCCGGAAACTTGGAGGAATGGTGGATCGGAGGAGCAGAGGAGCGGAGCTCCGGCCTAGGGAATTCTTCCCTAGGCCTGAGATGGATAATGACTAAGTCGGAGGACTAGAACTGTTATGAGGACTTAGGGTGAAGGCTAGTGCAAGGACTAATATGTGTAATATTCAGACTGAGGAAGTACAAAGATTCTACAGAGTTTATATACTACAGAGGACTTAACGGAGAGTCAGTCAGCACAGTCCGAAGCTACGCGAGGCTGTGGACAGAGGATGTAGAAAAGTCAAACACTAGTCTATCGGAAACTAGTAAATGAAGACGGAGATGAAGACATAGGAAAATAAAGCCGGAAATGAAACGAGGTATGGAAAATGAGGAAGTCTAACTCAAGAAGGAACATACAAAGGGACAAGGCATGGAAGATAGACGCGGGTCGGATCTGGATGTCCGGATGTCCGGATGAATGCGTGAGAGGTCCGGGTCCGGAACTCGGGATATGGCAAAAGGCAAAAGGCACGGAAGATAGACGCAGGTCAGATCTGGATGTTCGGAAGTCCAGAGACAGGTGATTACCATAAGGGGATGGGCGCTGATTTAAGGTTTGAGTTTGGACATGACAGATAGTCGGATCTGGAGATCTGGAGATGTGGATATCAGATCTGGCATCCGGATATCAGATGCAGGAGTACAGGGATCCGGATGGATAGAGGATTGGGTCTGGAGACATGGACAGGAGGTCCAGAGGTCCGGATGAGGCATGGGAACATCGTCGGATGTTGGTCCGGAATGCGGGATATGACAATGGTGGGCAAAGCTCTTATATGCTCCACCTCCAGCGGAAACCATCACTTCGGAGATTTCAGCTGTTCGTGAGGGCAACTCACAAAGGACAACCGCGTGTGGTATAATCATCGGTGTTTGTCTTTACATTCCTTCTAGCTTATCTTCAGACCTGAATTTCTTTGCATTAGAATATTTGTGAAGGCAAAAAGGACATTGATGCACATATTGATGCCCCTGGACTTATTGGTCTTGCACTTGACACTGTTGTTCCTAAACTCTTCATGTTTGGAGATGGATTTCCGTGGCGCACCGACAATTTCACTGTCCGGGATGCGGCTTGGGTTGATCTCTCAATGCACCAACCTAATATCCCTTATTTTTTCACGCAGTGTTTAGTCCCCTCTCGATGTGGGCAAAAGGCGCCTACATTTAAATCTAAGCAATTTGCATTATTGGTCATTGTACCAGCAGCACAGTGGGACAAGTATGAGGAGTGGCTAGAGAAACTTGAAGAGGTAAGTCCGACAGCTCTTTCAATGGCTCATACTAAGTGCTATCAGCATCGTTGTTGTCAGTCCAAGGTTCAAGAATTGCCTACTGCTACTGCTCCAGATTCACCTCCTGCTACCTCGACAACTCATGGCTTTTGGGGCACCAATGACTCTGATGGTATCGAAGACTTTGAACCAGAAGGTGCGAAGTCGAATTATTTGGAAGGTACCGGTGATGCAGAGTCAGACTCAGCACATGATCATCTGGTGCCTTCTCTATCAGCAAAGCGGACGCATGTCCGAGCGGATAGTGATTCTCGCTCAAGCACTGTATCCCTCACAAGAAGGCCACCTCATTAATGCGCAAAGGCTCAGACTTACTTTGCCTCCCTGGTCGTGACTACCTGAGAGTGGCGTTGAAGTATGGAGGCAGTACTAATCCAGACATATCTAATAAAGGTGAGTGATTTATTGCTGTCTCAACACACGAAACTCAACAACAGTTTAAATGTACTTTAGTCTTCAACAGGCGTCACGAAGATATCCAATATCATCCCATTCCTACTTGCCCACTCACTGAGGTCCTGAAGACACCGCAATACCATACTTTCGAGCTCAACATTTCAGACTCATATACCAGCCAACTGACGATCGATATACCCCTCCCCAGTATGATAGGGATTGGGGCTTTCAAAACAGCCCATCCTGGGTGGCTCACCCTCTCACCCGTTGTCTCTAGTAGGCTTGGATCATGCACTCAACACGCTGTGGTCGTTAAGTGACCATTCTTTAGGACTCCATCAACTCAGGCTGCCACTACCACATCACTCAAGATTGTGTGTTATTCATCGGCGGACGAGCTCAAACATGTCTTAAAAGAAAGTAAAGTCATGTACTGGGCAAAGTCACTCCTTGACTACATGTGTGAGTACATTGACCACCATATCAGTGCTTCATCAATGCCTCCGCCCTTTGAGATCCCTTGTGTGCGTTTTGTTGATGCCGGTGTAGTTTTGGGATATGGCCAACACAACGCAGGCCCAAAACCAGGAGGAAAGTTAGATACAAAGGCTGGATCTGTTTCCGCTGTTTATCTTCTCGAAGAACACATCTTGTTTGATGATGGCAAGGTGTTCACCAAGTTCATCCACAACATGGACTGTGTTCCATCTCTCGATCAAGATGAATATGGCTATGATCTAGCTGTTTTCCTTGCATTCATGCAGCATCTTCAATATGTGCAGACCGAAGGTTTCGCATTTATTTCCGATTATCAAGGTATTTATTGTCATTTCAGTTTGGACAAGACTGACATACGACTTTAGGGAGTTTAACACTTCTCACAGACCCTCAAATATTGACTCATCCGTGCATATTTCCTATCCCATTCATTCATTTTGATGATGTTTGGTCCCCGGCAGGTCCGTGAGTGAAGGAGGTGACATCTTTGGAGACGGAAACATCAAGGGCATGGTAGATGAGTTCGAGCGCAAGCATTCTTGCAATCAGTACTGCAAATGGCCGGGGTTTGGTTTGCAGCCATTTATTAGCTCAGAGGAGGACAATTAGTATATGAATTGATGACATATTTCTTGGTATAGAGTCTTAGTGTTGTCGTCTACTGGACAATGTCAATGATACCCAACTTCACGATGACGGGACATCTGTTGTGTCATCCTGCGTTCTACGCAAGTATTTTGGGTTTTTCAAGATTTTTTTTTAGGAGTGTACTTGGTCATAGAAGGGGTGAGGTATGATATTCCCTAGTTGAGGGATGCGGATAATACTAGGACTTCCCAACCAGGTTGAACCATTCTACACTGAGTTAAAAGAAAAGGTAGTGTCATATCCCGCGTTCCGGATCCGGACCTATCACACTCATCATTTTCGGATTTCCGGATCCAGCCGACTTCTATGTATCGTCCGGATCCGACCCGCATCTAACTTCCGTGCCTTATCCCTTTGGTATTTCCCTTATCAGTTAGTATGCTTTATTTTCCGTCCCTTATTCATTTCCGTCTTCATTTTACTAAGTTCCGATAGACTAGTGATAGTCGTCCCATATGTTTTCTCCATAGCCTTACATAGCCTCGCACTGCACTGATTGTTTCTCCGTTATGTCCTCAGTAGTATATAAACCCTGTACAGTCTCTGTAGTTTCCTCAGTTCAAATATTATCTTAGACTCTGCTCATTCCCTCCTCCGTCCGACTTGAGTTCTCCTCTCATCGTCCTCTGATAGTCTTAGGATCGACTCCTATAGACTTAACACCTCCGCCTCTACCTTTGGTAGTCCTCCGCTGTTTCCTTTCTAGTTCGGACATTGTCCGGATTAGTCTTATCACTTGTTTCCAAATGTCCGCCGGAATTCCCGCGCATCAGACATCGGACTCCGGACATCGTCCAACAACCTTTGGACATCGTCCATTAGCCTTCGGAAGTTAGGGGCACGTACTCGGGTAAGGGGCACAGCGCACGAGCTGAAGCCAAGCCCTTCAGATCCGACCCTTGAGCACGTTCTTAACAGGTAGACCCAGGCCTCAAATTAAGCCAGCAGCTTAAGTGCTTATATCATACTGCCTCCGAAATACGGGTGAGTCGAAAAAATATAATAAAGAGAGGTCCTTTGGCATCCATAAGGTGTTCGAAGTCCTACTGCCTAATATGGATGTGTGACGCCAAGAAACGAGCACGGCCATCCTGCTTTCCATACATTTCTGAATCACCCTGCTTCTTTTTCTGTTGAATTCATGGATAATGACCTTTGCAACAAGGTTGATGGTATGTAGGAAGTACAGAGTGTGTGTCACTTATTCTCCAATGCTTAGGAGATTCATTGTAAGTTCATCAATTATTGCATCATTGTTAGATATATTGTTGCAGATGATACATAGTCTATATACTTATAAGTCAAAATATTTCAAAATATTTTTTGCTTACCTTTTGTGTGACTGTAAAATCTTGCAGAACTTCCTGAAATGCACTTATAAGTTCTTCATCTGTCATATTAGTATAAATACTTCAATATTTATAAGTACATTTTATCTTCAGAACTTTAACGATATCTAAGGATGTCCAATCATCAGTAGTGAAGTTGATTTCTTCTTCATACTCCTAGTAAATCTTTAGTTTTTAGATGAATTACAATCATGTTATAAAACTCACTTGTAACAATGCATTGATGTGTCCTTACAAAAACAAGCTGAACATCTTGTAAGACAGCCACAGCAGATGATATGTAATATTCTGGTTGTTCTATTTTCATAAAAAACTAAAAACCTCTATCTTTAACTATTGAAAATAGATATAAGTTTTCTGATACCCAATAAACAATTTTGGCTTTGTTGGGCTTAATTGATCGACTCAAGATACTATCAGAATTCTTATACTTGAATTTCACACATATATATTAATAGTAAGAGTATGTTATTTTGTACTATCACTGAGTCTATTGGTATTAGCTTTTTGTTTGTTGAATGTATCTTATATAGCTTTGGCTTTGGCTGAGATTTTGGGTACTCACTTAGAAGTATTAGACTTGAACATGGTTACAGTGAAAGTTGGGTCATTTTTGCTAGTGTGGGTTCATACAATATTAATGGACCTTACCCAGTTAGCAGTAAGTAAAGCATAGGTCATCTATCACAATAAAATTCAGCTACCCAATATACTCTTTTCTTTCATAACCATGCAGACTATTAAATTATCTTCTAATCTGGATCCATATACATACAGCATCATGTGACATATGTTCTTCTGATAGCCTAATACAATAATTTGCTATGAAGACTATTTAAGCTCATTTCAAACCTATTTCTGTATAGCACAGTGTCTCCAATAATGATGCTAATGTTTTACAGACTATCCCTTTTGCATTTGTACAATTATTAGTGTTCAATCAGATCATTAAAGACATCAGCATGAGTTTGATAGTTAGTATTTTATTATTTGTTGTTGAATTTATGGTTTCATGTATGTAGGCTTTGCACCTGTGTCTGCACCTATTCAACCATTATTTCACTCACAGATAACCTCATTTCAAGCTTTGATTCTTGACAAATCAAGGAATAATAACTCCTTCATGATATAACTTATTCTATCTGCTATCTGGCTCATCATTACTAATATGTTATATGGTCTGCATTATAAGCATGCTCATTCATCTCCTCTACAGTAGAGCTACTATCTTCTTGATTCTTCTCTATGATTTCTAAACCTTTGTAAATAGAGCAGATCAGATAAATCAAATATTCTTGAGTTATTTTGCAAAGACCTTATACCTCAATGAGTATATGTAGTTATTTTGGAGGCCAACAACATCAATTGCCCTTATAAAACATCATATATATGTAGGAGTACTATGTTTTTAAAAGAACAACTTTATAAACACTTGTATTACACTTGGTCCTTAACCATCTTAATATCAATCTAATAACTCTACTAAAATATACATTTCATTTATTATATCTTATAGTATCTTATACTAACTTTGTGGATACTAGCTTCTTCTATTGTATACATTATGAGCCTTAGGCTCTAGTTAGCTTAAACAATATATAAAGCAATAAGGTTCCCTTCATGTTCATTTGATAAATCAATATAAGTATATATAGTTTCTATTATAAATAATGAGAAAAATTAATCATACTTTAAAATTGACAAACTTAAAAACTTTTCTAAGCTAGTAATGAGTTATCAATTTGTATTAGGCAAAGAAGGTCTATAAAACCACTGTGGCAGTAAAACCAATTCTCTCAATATTGCTAAGTTTACTAAGACAATACCTAGAGTAGCAGTTTTCAAAATGCTCACATTGGCAAAGATCAGCAAAGATCATTAGTATAAAAGAATAAATAAAAAAGAATGTACAAACCAAAGTCATCATTAACTAGAAACTTTTACTATAATTCAAAGTTTCTACTTTGGAATAATATTATATATCAAGGTTATATATTATCATAATGCTCATATCTAGGTTAATAGTAACAGCTACTATAGTGAGTGATATATCATTTTGAGTATCTTTATTAACTTACATATTTTTAAAATTAATTATCCTAAGTACTTTCATACTATATATATCTTATCTTAAATTGAAAACTATAATGACCTTAAGTTACTGTGCAATATAGTAGATAGTGATTTATATATTCACTATACTCTGAGTATTACATAGATAAACAGAATAATTTTACTTTCATAAGAACTAATAGTAAGAAAATAATAAAACTTAGTTACACAATTCATTATATAATGTATTATTTAAGTTTTGAATTGTTTTCTCAAGTGAAATTATCTTCTCCTATATCTAAAATATAATAATTAATAATGAGTTTAGGTAAATTAAATTGTATTTAATATATAATTTAGCTACTGCAATATAAGTATTTGAATAGTTGAAAATTATAACTTTTATAGATTTCATTTCTTATTAATAACAATAAACTTAGAAATTGGGGAACTACAAGGGTAAACCTATAAGTATAATTAAGCCAAGACAAATGCAGATGAGTACAGAACATTTATTGTCATTGAACACTTAGTATTTAGTGTCAACATTAGGACTACCGCTAACACACACATAGTGTTTAAGTTTCACCTCTAGCACACAGTTGAACACCTAGCATTTGACTCTATGGATCTCCTCACTGTCATTGAGCACTTAGTGTTTGACATCAAGACTGCTGAACATGAAGTTGATGTTACATGTCGACTACACATATCTATCATGATCATGTTATTGACCCTGGATACTATGAACTTGACTCAAATGTTGCATGCCAACTATTGTCAACTGCATATCTAGTTCTTTCAGTGTTCTGTATCTTTTGTCTCAAAATTTTATTTGCTTTTACCTTCTATCCAATGGAGTGTCAAACATATAGGTGTGGTAGCCAGCCTATGTCAATTAATGTGCTCTTTGAGTGCTGTAGCCATTGCAATAGCTTTTTGAAGCACACCAGCAGGGAACACAATAGTATTTTGATGCACCCTCCCCTTCTCCTCTTAGCCCTCCATCCACATTTAATTTCCCTTGGGGTTTTCCCTGAGATTGGGGGTGCTAAATTCATATAGTCCCTTATATCTTTTGTTACAACTGGGGTTGTTCTTTTCTACAATGACTGAATAGTCAAATCAAGTGTAGAGCAGAGTCTTCCTATGAATATAGGATCAAGATTCTAGGCTAAGGACAGTGTTAGGGACTGCCTTAGAATGATGGTTTCAAGACTACTAAGGTAGATTCCTTAGTAGAGGGTGTCCATATAAAACCCAGTAGATTAAAGTGGAGAATACAAGTGGTAACTACTGTACTTAAATAGTCCATATGGTGCGCACAGACCAGGCTAGGTATCCCGCATTCCGGACCAACATCCGACGACGTTCCCATGCCTCAAGTCCAACAATTCTCAGCTCTCTGTTCCCATCTAGCTCACTATTGTCCTGAATTATGTAGGTCACTATGGCAATACAATTACTGTTGAGGATGTTACTCAATGGACAGGTGTAAGTATTGGCTCAGTAGTCTAAACTCATTATGTGATGATTGTAGTACTTAATACTCATGACAAATGAATCTGCTGTCTAGCAGCTTACTCTGAAAACACTAACCTGACTTGTAAATTTGCCTAGTTATGAACTTGTTCAGAGTGACTTTTTGGCTATTGATGGTCCAATTATGAATCTTTTTATAAAATCTGATTATTATAAAGAGATATTTTATAATAGGAAATCTATGTATTCCTTAGGCTATCAAGTAACTTTTTCCTTGTTGATCATTCTTTTGGTTATTCTGAGAGTGTCCACTATAAATTTGCTTCTTTATTTACTACATATTCTCCTAAGGAAAATGACATTCATTCATCAAAAATTAAATCATATATACTCTGCAGTGTATCACCAGAGACTGGACTAACATGACATTTGCCATAATGCCTTTGTATATAATCAAGGTGGCCAGACACTAAGCACCCGCGATAGTAAAAGGGACAGCAAAAACTGTCATTCAAGAACACACAAGGCCAATCTTTGCAACACCTAAGTGAGAGCGCATATTTTTTAAAATGTGTGCTTTTGATTTTCTTCTTTGCCTTCAGATCATTTTCTGGGATCTTAAATGAGACAGTGCATGCATTGCCAATATTCTTGCATGACCTGTAAACAACTGAGTCAATTTCTAAGAGATTTGATTGTGACTTAAGTACCTTGAATCAGAATGAAAACTTGAAAAAAGTACTTAATTTTTGCATTAATCACTGCAAGTTAGCTCCAAATTTTTATGTTCAAACTTGAGCTGTTGTGTTTCCATTAAAGTCATGATGTATTGCTCCATTCAAGAAGCCTTAAAATAAACAGTTAACAAAGAATTAGAAGATATTCAATTACTACCTCTCTAAGGTTGGTATTTTTTAATGATTTTAAATTATTTAGATTCATGTTCATATTGAACACACATTTTCTATCTTGAAGGGACATTTCTGAAAAGCAATAATTAACAAAAAAAACAAGACAGTTAAAAATATAAAAGTGATACAACAACAGACAGCTCACATAGCTTCATCTGATACTGAGGCACTGCTATCCTGCATCATCTGATAGAATTAGATTTTTGAGCACCTACAAATGTATTTTGTGCACTCATATATCCACTTCATGAATGCAGATCTCAACATCTTTATCCTTCTGTTGATGCCAATAATTAAGAGCTACTTGAGATACTTTATACTCCTAGGTTAAGTGAAGCCACTTATATTTCTTTGTCTCATAATAGTACTCAGACTTTATCTCAAGCTTTGCAAGGAACTTGAAATCTAAACACCAGCACATGCTCCAAGTCTAGTGCTAGTGCCAGACAATCAAGCTCCTGACACATCATTTATTATGAAGCTCAACAAACCTACCTACCATCAACATCATTAAGCATGCTACTAGAGAGAAGCTATATTGTATGATGATGCAGAAAAGAGATGGTATTTCATTAGTGCAAAAAAATAAGAGGCTATTATTAAGAAGACCTGGATTTCCATCATCAGTCAAGGTGAATCCTCAATACATTATACTATCCACTGACACTTTTTTAAAGTCCAATATAAATTATTTTGAAAAAAGAAAGCTCTTTACAAAGAACTGATATCCTGCATGTCAAACATATAGTAGAAGTTTAGAGATTATGCTGCAATTATGGTTTAGACAGCTCTTAACTTATAGCTACTCATCTCTGCAAAACATAGAGAGGAGGTAGCATACAAAATTGCAGTAGTTCTCATCCTACTAAAGGATCTTAATTTTTTGCCCAAATTTGAATTAGTGTATTTTTATTTTATTTTCACCTGTTGCTAGCACTTATTTTACTTCACTAAACTTAGGATGATGATGACATCAAACAATGTTAGTTTTTAGAAGTCAACACTTTATTGAAATAATCATCAACATTATATGACAAAAAGGCTCTATATGTGTATATTGATCCACTTTGACTTTACAGCACCTTTGCCCTTGGTAGGGCTGTAGTACAGAATGCAATTAAAACACATTATATGAGCAGATTTGAAGCTGTCAATGCATTGGCTAAACTGTTCTATGACACCTACAACATAATTATGATATTAATTAACACAATTAGGGCAGATCCAATTCTAAGAACAAGGTATGAGAGACTTTAGCATTTGATAGTAGCATAGAGTTACAAGTGGATTAGTCTGTATGATAATAATGTTAAGTATATGACTTCTATATGACTTCAACAATCTGTAGATAATCTTTGCAATTTTTGACCAATGTCATGAATAAACCTATTTTTGGTGTAGTGACAACTAGGATAACATATTATAAACTAAAAGTATGTACTAACTAAATTATGAGTGCTCCATTTTCTTTAGTGATATTTGTGTATTTCATTATTATCTTAGCTAGCCTACATGATAGGGTTGAAAATTGAGTATTAAGAAATGAAGCTGCTTTGGTCTGGATAAGTTAGAAAGTGGGCTTTATATGCTAGTTATATTATAATCACTTTAGTGGGTATTTTATGATCTGTGTTTGGCAAGGTTATAGAGTGGTAATTTTTAATTTCAATGTATTCCTTTTTATATATAGGTTCTATACTTGTTGTGTGAGTTACTTCTTTATTTAGAATGTAAGCAACTCCTACTAAGTTGCCTAATATAAGTCTTAAATGTTCTGTGTATATTTCAAAAACACAGAAAAGAAAATCAATATTATTATAAGCTGCTATTTAGAAGACGATAGATGGAAAATACTTCAAGGAATATGACTAATTTTTGCATCATGTCCCACACAGAAAATCATTGATACACAAACTAATTTCTTTTAATGTTTGAATAGGTAAAATAGGGGGAAATTTCTATCTTCTCAATCAATGTTTTTTGGATGTTTGGTGGAAGAAGATGGAAAAATGCCTGTAGTGACTAATATTTCCAATTATCAGATCTAAAGCAAATGATACATGTAAATATGGTTTGATTGAATGAGAACTTACAAATCTCATAGGTACTTCTTCACTTGAAATCTGGATCTTGAATATCTGTTATGTATAATGTTGTGTAGCCTATGTCTTTTGTAATGATTTTTGATAACAGAGATAAACTTGATGGATATTCCAAGGCTGAAATCATTAGTAGCAGTGATTAAATTACTCTATATTAATGTTTTATAGATTTCCAGGCTGCCCCAAGGTACAAACTCCTCTCAATTAAAGAATTTCCTAATTTTAAAAAGAGATCCTTAACTTTCTACTTATGGTTTGAAGATTATTAGCAATGAGCAAGATAGCACAAGTAAGTCATAGAATTGAGAGCACGAAATATGATGCAGAGTGATGGCCTTGCAAGTGTCACACAATGTATGGCTCAAAAATCTCAAGAGTCCAAAAACAAACATTTTAATAAATGCTACAAAATTGTAGGATAAAAGCAGAAAAAAAAAAGACAAAACCCTGTCACAGAAATCACAGCTATTAGCCTTTAAATTTAATTGTGTTTTGTTGAGTCCTGTGTGTGTATTGTATTTGCTTTTATTTGTCTAAGGTTGATTTACTTTTATTTATTTCTTCCTCTTTTCTTCTCTCTCCACCTATCTGGAAACCCGCCGGGGATATGGTGGGAAACACTGAGTGAATCAAACAATAGGTGAAAGGACAAGACTGTGAATATTCAGAGTGTGATATAAATGGGTAAGTGATGGTAAGTGGTTAACCCGAGCCTGAGGGGAACATCATCTAAATGGAGTAATATATAGGGGAAGTCATGTGATTGAAGGATGTCGTAAGCAGCAGGCTTACACCCTCCCAACTTTTAAAACTTTCATTTGGTGTTGTACTCTTCTAGCACTTCGCAACCTTCTGACTCCTGTCCTGCCGGCCATACATCTGCTTCAGGACCATAGCTGTGCCAACGTACGAGATATCAGAAGCCGTGTCCTCGAGGTCTCTTCTCTATAATCTTCTCTATCTCCCATTCTTCAGCACCAGATGTTGTGATGAAGGGTTTTGGCCATTTTTGTTCACGTGAGGGATACAAGTCCTTGTCGTTTTGGATGTGGCCCTTCAGTTCTGAAGCATGGAAGGTGGGCAGGATATTGGTATGTGCTGGCATGTCGAGCATGTAAGTTGATGTCCCAGGGTTCGCCAATACGATCTTGTAAGGCCCATTGAAGTGTGGCATGAACTTTGCTATCCTTCTCTCGTTTCCGTGGAGGCATTCACGTCTTCGATGGGCTGTGGAGAGATACACCAAGTCTCCAATGTTGAACATAGGTTCATCATCCTATCTTTTGTTTGTTGTGTTTGCTTGTCTGATTTTATTGCCAGTAGTGCATCCTGCGCATCTGCTATGTCGGTCTTTAGTTTCATGATTGCGTCTAGCGCGTTTGATAGATCAATTGGGAACATCTCGTGAGTATGCTGTATGTCTTCCGGTATTAGTGGTGGCAGGAGTCGTGGTGATCTCCCAAGGTGCAGGTGAAAGTGGGAGTACCCTGTCGATGTGTTAGTGAAGCACATCATTCAGAATCTTACTTTTGGCAGTGCATCAACCCAGCCACTTTGATGGCGATCTACGAAGAATCAAAGTGCCTGGTTCACCGTTTTGTTTGTCTGTTTGCTTGCGCCATCTGTTTGTGGGTGGTATGGCATGGACATCTTCAGGCGGACACCAGTCAGCTTATGGAGGGCCTTCCAGAACTTGCTTGTGAAGATTTTGTCCCTGTCAGACATGATGTTCAGAGGGAGACTGTTCTCGCAGTACCAGTTGTTGAAGAATAGGTTGGCTATGTCCTGTGCGTTCATGTCCATTCAGCATGGTACCAACCTTATGTCTGCTCCTAGGCGATCCGTGATGGTCATGATGCTGTCGAATCCTTGTTCTTTCAGTAGAGGGCCGATGAAGTCAATCACTATTGATTTGCTGCAACCATCAGGCACTGGTAGTGGGTGAAGAGGGCCTGGTGGTTTCGTGGTTCGGTTTTTGTTTCTTGTGCAGTTGGTGCATGATGGTATATAGCTTTCTTTGAGATCCTTATGCATGTTTGGCCAATAGTACAAATTTCTTAGGGCTGCATATCATTTGTCAATGCTGAAGTGGCCAAGGTCATCATGGGCCAATCAAAACAATGTTTCGCGAAGGTGTGTCATATGTGGAATGACAAGTCGATCATTCAGATACAGTAGTCCATGTTCTTTTCATAGGCCTGGGAGGGAGCTGACCAGTCTGGATAGCTTCACGTACCACGGGTCTGTGAGGCAGCTGTTTGTTATATCTTTCATTAGTGTCGTGTTGGGTGTTATGGATAGCACTAGTGCCATCGGTTTCACATGGTTTGTCAGTGTCTGCGGAATGTTCATTGCTTGTCTTGTGTATGTTGGTATTTCTTCTGGTTCGGGAGGTAATCTTGATAAGGTGTCCACTACCTCGTTTTCTTCTCCAGGTATGTATTTATCATAAAGTTGTATTGTCTGAAAAATCCCTGCCAATGAGCTTGCCATCATGAGAGTTCTCATTGTGTCATGAAGCATTCCAGGGTCCTATGGTCAGTGTACACTGTGAATGGCATACCTAATAGTTCAATTCTCCATTTCTTGAGTGCTTGCACTATGGCCAGGAGTTCTTTCTCATGGACGGGATAATTGAGTTGCGCATTGCGCAGCTGCATTGAGTCAAATGCAACAGGTCATGCAGTTTTTGCTGTCGGTCCATAGCTCAGCATAGCACCTGTGTGCCAATCGCTAGCGTCACAAGTCACAAATATCTGGTTCTGTTCTAGGTTGTTGTGATTGATGGTAATCAGGCAGTCACGCCCAATGATGAGCTTTTTGATGCTGTCGAATGCCTTCTGGTGGTGGCTTGTCCAACCGGGCCACTCCAATTCCGCGGATTTTGTCGTCAGAGATGTCAGTATTCACGTGTGATCCACAAGGTGAGGCAGCAACTGTTCGAGGTATCTTACAAGTCCGAGGAACGAGCAAACATTGCTTGTTGATTTTGGCGCGGGCCAGTCTAGGATATGTTGTGCCTTTGAGGTGTCTGCTTCTATTCCTTGTGCTGAGATGCGGTGTCCTAGGAACTTGATCTCTGTGCAAAAGAGAGAAGTCTTTTTGGTGAGCAGAAGAGGCTCGCTTTCCTGAGCGCTTCCAGTACCAGTTGTACATTTTTCACGTGTTCGGCTACTGATTGGGACCATATGATGATGTCATCTAGGTACACGTGGCAGATCTTCCCAATCAGCGGTCGTAAGGCGATGTACATCCTCTGCTGATGGGTTGCTGGTGCATTCCTTCTGCCTTGAGGCATCACCATCCATTCGTGAAGACCTTTTGGCATGTTGATCGCTGTGTACTTGATGTCGTCGGGATGGATACAAAATGAGTTTGTCATATCAAATTTCCTGAAAATCTTACCTTTTGCACAGTCTCGCAGAATCTCATTAATTTGTGGCAGTGGGTGGTTGTCTGGTATAGTATTTGCATTTAGCGTGCAGTAGTCATTGACCCACCTAGGTAGAGCCATTGGATCCTTCTTTGGGATCAGGAATGCTGGTGATACGAAGGGACTCGACGAGGGCCTCAGGTGACCTGCTGCCACATGTTGGTCCAGTAGGGCTTCCCAAGCTTCGCGATATTTCCGTGGAGTGTTGTAGCAGCGGCATTGTATTATCTTGTTGGGGTCCTTGAGTCAAATACGATGGACCACGTCAGTTGGGAGGTGGTCAATGTGCGGTATGTTGTCAGGGAAACGGTCCTCGAACTTCCGGCGCATTTTGGCATCCAGTCATTGTAGCTGTTCTTTGTTTCTTGATGAATGCTAGAGTATCAATTCATTGACGAAGTCTTGAGGCGATGTTCGGGGCCTTGCTAGTTGTGTGTTTTTTCATTGTCACTTAGGCGCATATCTAGGACAGAACAAAGCTCATTGATAACACCTTTACGTAGATGTAATACATCATGATGCAAGGGAAGCGGGACTGGTATGTGTTTCATGTACTTGGGGGAATGTAAAAGGTCATATTGACAATTTTTGTCGATGCAGGTCCATAAAGTGTGATCTATAATGAGAGAATTGTGTGATAAGAATGGCCCCCCCAGAAGCAGGGGCACTACAAGCTTGGGCATGATAATTGCGCGTATCGTACGCAAACACCAGTCATGATTAACAGACGATGGAGACAGATCAACATATTTGTGAAATTTCAAAGAGGAATTGGAGTCAGCAAGAAACACTGAGCTCGCTTCAATCACAGTATGCAGTTTGCGTCTTCGTAGACCAAGTCTCATTACAAGCTCGTCGTCAATAAGAACTAGGTGTGACCCATGGTCAATCAATGCGTCTATGTGCTCAAAAGAGGTAGAGGAAGGCCCCGTCAACAGGCAGGGTCAAATAAAATGGGGAGTTTTGAATGGAGCTACGTACATGTCATCATCAGAATCTGATCCTTCTTCGATCACAGAGGAAGGCATCACCGCTCCGATGGTGATCACGGTAGCGACAGGTTTTGTTGGTTTGGATGATTTGGGTTTGGCCACGGCTGTGTCTCCTTCCGTCAATGTTTTGTATGTGGAAGGGTTAGGTGGGCCATTGGTACATTCCCTTGATCAGTGGGGGACATAGAATTTTTGGCATTTGTAGCAGTTGCTGTGCTCGTTGAGCAGGGCATGCTCGGTCTGTGTCAGAGGTCCGAGACGAGCCGAGGAGGACGAGCTGGATGCACAAGTGTTCTGGGATGATGTTCTTCCTGTCTGTTGCATTGTACGTCTAGAGGCCTTGTAGAGCTCTTCCGCTATCTTTCTGTGTGAAGCAACTTCTTCAAGGTGTTTGTCGTCAAGTTGTTTGACTTCCTCAATCCATTTCTTTAAGTCAGAGTCGTGGCGAGCTTGGCTCTGAGGACGGGGGTAGTCAACTCATTGGACATATTTGCTTCAAGCTGGTTGCACAATTTTTCGTCTGACAGGTGAGCTGTGTTGCCGTATAGTAGCGCGTTGAGGTTCTGTAGTTCGAGAGCCCATTTGTAGAAGCTTTGGTTGCCTTGTTGTGAACCTAGGACCTTCTTGCATAACTTGGAGTCCCAGTGGGTTTCTAACCACGTGTTAAGACCGTGCACAAAGGGTAGGACTGATTCCGAGGGGCTTGGCTTCAGCTCGTGCGCTGCGCCCCTTACCCGAGTATGTGCCCTTAATTTCAGAATGATGTCCGAAGAAAGTCCAAGGACATCCGAAGCGCGGGAAAGTTCGGAAGGACTTTCCGGACGAGTGTGGGAAAGTTCCGGAGGAACTTCCGGAAATTACGATGAGGTTTTGTCCTGATACGGATATGTGTAATGGCTACTTAGGACAAGTCCTAAGTAGAAGGAAACAGAGGAAAGGCTGCAAGGACAAAGTCCGAAGCAGAATAGGTCCGGAGGACCGCGGGAAAGTTTCGGATGAACATCCGGAAACGTCGGAGGATCGGATGAGCGGATGAGCGGGGATCGGATAAGCGGATAAGCGGATGAGCGGATAAGCGGAGCTCTGGCCTAGGGAATTTCTCCCTAGGCCCGAGATGGATATTGACTAAGTCGATAGACTAGAACTGATGTGAGGACTTAGAGTGAGATCTAGTGCGAGGACTAATATGATATTCAGACTGAGGAACTACAGGACATATACAAGAGTTTATATACTAAGGAAATAACGGAAAGATCAGTAAGCAAGCGTCCGAGGCTATGTATGAAGCATAAGCAATGTTATCAAGCGCGAGTCGGAAATGAAGCATAGGTTAACGGATCAGTAAGCATATCGGTAGTAAGTATAACCGAGATACCGAGGACAAGGAATACCAAATAGAGGAATAGGCTGTGTTAACGTTATATGCACAGGAATTGAATTAGGAAGCTTATCGTATATCGGATCAGATCAGATCGGACCGGATCGGACCGGACGTCCAGATGAGACGCGTGGATATATGGGATATGACATTAGGGTGATGGGACAAAGGATGACTGATGCAGGCTAGCTGAGGTATGGAGGTAAAGGGATGTGGATGTGGATGTGGATGTGCAGGGGTGCGGGGATCCGGATGGATAGAGGACTGGAGACATGGATAGGGTGTCCGAAGGTCCGGATGAGGCGTGGGAATATTGTCGGATGTAGGTCCAGAATACGGGATATGACACCACGTGTCCTTCAATGCCGTTATATACTGTGGGAAAGTTCCAGCGTCTAGGGTGGCTTTCTGTGTCAGATACCATGTATGCAATCGTGTGTCGAGCATGCCGAACACAATCATTTTTACTTGATTCTTTTCCTCTATTTCTTTGTGCATAAAGTAGGTTGTGCATGTGTTATCCCAGTCATGTGCGGCTTCAGGTGTTAGTTCACCTGCCAGCAGCTTCGGTGGCTTGCTTGGTGCTGACTGTTCAACATCGGCCGATTTCATTATGTTACATGAAAGAGGATAAGGTATTGTCGTATCTGTGTCTGAGTCTGATGAGGAATCATAGCGGATATGTTTGGTGGTAGGCAGTTAAGTAGATGGTTGGGTGGATGGTTTTCCTCATTTAGGAGGCAGTTTGACGGTTTGTGAGATGGGTGGTTAGCCCGGTGGTTTGAGAGGGGGTTCAATTCGAAGATACACAAGTATTGTCAGTTTCAAAAAAAAGTGGAAACCCGCCAGGGATATGGCAGGAAACACTGAGTGAATCAAACAATAGGTGAAAGGACAAGACTGTGGATATTCAGATGCTTTCCTTTTAGGATTGAATACACTTGTCACCAAGTAGAGCAGACTAGGCAGTGCATGACTACAACATAAATATATCAGTTTGGAGCCACATGGCACCACTTTGTGTTGTATACCTACATTATTTCACAATTCTGACAGTCTCACTGAATTAAATTAACTGATAAGTTCACTGATTAGCCTATATTACATTTATTTTTCTGTTCCACAGAAATATTAGACATATTATTGAGTTGCACTAGCTTAGACCTTTTTTCTCAGACAGGGTCAATTTTCCAGTCTGTCATATCCCGCATTCCAGACCAACATCCGATGATGTTCCCACGCCTCATCCGGACCTCATGTCCATGTCTCCAGACCCAATCCTCTATCTGTCCGGATCCCTGTACTCCTGCATCTGATATCCGGATGCCAGATCTGATATCCACATCTCTGGATCTCCGGATCCGACCTATGCTTCATATCCAAACCCAAACCTTAAATCAGCACTCATCCCCTTATGGTAATCACCTGTGTCTGGTCTTCGGTTATCTCTGTTTCCCTTTTGCTTATTGATCCTTGTATGACTTTCATCTCTGAGTTCATTTCCTATGATCCATCTTATTTTCTAATACATTTCCACATGTTCGTACATAGCCTTACCCCTCTGCTTACTGATCTGCACAGACTTGCCTCTAGTATATAAACCCCAGTAGATACTCCTGTATTTCCTTAGTCTGAATATCACATATTAGTCCTCACACTAGTCTTCACACTAAGTCCTCATATCAGTTCTAGTCCTCCGACTTAGTCATTATCCATCTCAGGCCTAGGGAGGAATTCCCTAGGCCGGAGCTCTGCTCCTCCAATCCTCTGATCCTCCGCTCATCCAATCCTCCATTCCTCCGAGTTTCCGGAAGTTCCTCTGGAACTTTCCCGCGGTGCTCCGGACCTATTCTGCTTCGGACTTTATCCTTGCAGCCTTTCCTCTGTTTGCTTCTACTTAGGACTTATCCTAAGTAGCCATTACATGTATCCGTATCAGGACAAAACCTCGTTGTAATTTCCGGAAATTCCTCCGGAACTTTCCCGCACTCATCCGGAAGTTTCTGGCACTCGTCCGGAAAGTCCTTCTGAACTTTCCCGTGCTTTGGATGTCCTTCGGACGTCCTTGGACTTTCTCCGGACATCATTCTGAAATTAAGGGCACATACTTGGGTAAGGGGCCATGTAAATAGTAAGTAAAGTGTCAGGAATAATACTATGAGTATGATGACACAATAAGACACATAAAAGACATAGAAATGTGTACTGTACAGGTGAATAATCATATAACTAACACTCCTCCCTGATTGTGCACCTCTCACAATCAAGAGCTCCCCCCTAATAGGACAAGTCCCATCATTTGACAGAACAAGTCCACCTTGACTCGAGGCAGGGCCTTGGTCAGAATATCTGTAGGTTGCTCTGCAGTGAGGACAAAGGCGGAGGAGATTACCTGTTTGTCTACCTCATCACACAGCCAGTAAAAGCACAAGTCCAGCTGCTTCATATGTCCATGATGCTCCGGGTGCTTGGCCACAGAGATAGCAGACTGGTTGTCTATCCTGAGAACAGACGACGCGCCCGCTGGGAAACCCAATTCCAACAGCAGTTTGCACATCCACTTGATCTCCTTACCTGCCTCAACTGCAGTGATGTACTCTGCCTCAGTAGTAGACAGAGCAATGACTCCTTGAAGCTTGGAGCTCCAGGAGACCGCACTAGTGCCTATCTTGACAAGATAACCGCCAGTAGAGCGCCCAGTGTCTTTGCAACCGCCATGATCAGCATCAGAGAATGTGGAGAACAACTCAGTGGAGTGGGGGTCAGGCTTGTAGACAAGCACTTGGTTTTGATATAGCGAAGGAGGTGCTTGACAGCCTGCCAGTGGGCGACACCTGGGTTTGAGTTGAATCTGGCAAGGACACCTACAGTGTAGGCAATGTTAGGTCGAGTGGTGGTGGCTAGATACATCAGAGCACCAACAGCAGCAAGATAGGGCACACCACACATGAAAGACACCTCCTTAGCAGTTTGAGGCAATTGAGATCGAGAGAGACGGAGATTGGGGGCAATGTCCATGGGATATGTAGATGCTGGGGAAGCAAACTCGGTCATGGGAGAGGTGGTGCCATCCAGAAATGCAGTGTTATTGGAGTTGATAGAGGTGTAGAAGAGAGGAGAGCCCTTAGGTCGACAGAAGGTCATGTGAGAAAAGGATATATCGACATAGAAGCCGCAGTTTTGTGTTAAATACAGGACTGAGAGGAGATTGTTATGAAGATCAGGTATATGCAAGACTCAAGTGAACTCGACCACTCTAAGACTCTTTACCTGGCCCACAGACACAGGATTAAAGACCACTGACTCCACCCCAGCTGAATAGACAATAGTAGAGTTTGCCAGTTGAATTGGCATACATTTTAGGGTGTAATTGCGAATATAGTGGCGATGTGGGGTCATATAAGAAGTGGCCCCTGTGTCTGCATTCCAATCAACGTCAGCATCGAGCTAGAGTAGAGGACTAGAGGAGTCAAAAGAGCGAAGACTTGCATTACCAGCAAACTCAGTCACATTCTGGACAGTGGAGGACATGTTTGCAGATGCAGGGACACTGGAGGACACATTGGACAAGGCATTGGATCCAGGGGAGGGCTGGGACATGGTAGAGGATGCTGCAGAGGCCTTGTTAGCATTCCTAGGCCTCCTGCCTGACTTGCCAGGCTGGTTGGGCACCTGCCTAGTCTTGTGCACCTCTCTGGCGCGCTGCATGGCAAAGCACTTATGCACGCAATGGCCTGCCTTCTTACAGAAATCGCAGATAGCATTAGCACCGCACTTACAGCTACTAGGTGGCGCCCCAGGGGCAGAGAAAAGGGCAGAATCGCTAGAGGACACTCCAAGAGCATCAGCATGTCGATGGCACTGGGTTTCTTCAGCAAGGAAGGCGGCCTTGAGCTCCTTCTTGTCCAAGGACTTGAGGAGGATCAGGCTAGATGCAAATTGGACATAGTCTTTGCCCAGAGCACAGATCATGGCCATAGACACTAGCTCAGCATCAAGGTCAGACAGACTGTAGGGCTTACTAGAGTCCTGGGGGTGCAGTTTCTGGATCTTAGCCATGCCCTCCTCAATCCTGGCAATGAGAGTGCTCAAGGACTCATCAGGGCGCTTCCTGATGGTAAAGAAGTCATCCCAGGTGTTGAAACGAGGGGCAGGGAGCTGCTGGACATGGGTAGACTCGAGGGTGATCCAGATCTTAATAGGGTCATCCTGAAAATCTTCAAAATGCAGCCTTTAGTCTGCAGAGCAGTGAAGAAACAGTTCACCTGCAGCCTTGTCCTGCTTCTGGTCCTACTTGGCTTGTTCCTCAGCCTGAGAGGCTGGAGGCCGAGTCTCCTTGCCAGAGACAAGCAGCCAGAGTCCCTTAGTGCATAGGCCTTCATCTCACCTTTCCAGGTAGAGTAGTTGGCCTCTGTCAGCACAGCAGGTAACTTGGTGGAGGTGGTCTTAGCAGACATGGAGCAAGGGCGATGCAAGGCTTAGGGATGGGTGTAATAGGGTGCAGGCGGCACAGGAAGTGAGCTGAGTACATTGGGAAGCAAGGATAATGGATAGGAGACCTTTAGATAGGAGACTGATAAGAGATATATGTGAAGATTGGGTTGCTGGGAGCAATAGGCTTGACCAGGGACAGAGTAGCGATGTGTATGGGGACTTCTGAAGGTGCAGAACGCGATGGGAGAGGTTCTTTAGGAGGAGTTTTCCCACTTTTTCCCCTTATCTCAGAATACTGCAAAGTGTATATTCCACCTCAGTGCTAGAAATCTGATTATACTTCTCTATCGACTATCACCTGCGCTTCCACTATTCTTTGAAGACTCTTTCCCTTATCGCTTGAAGCGCACCTCCGCTTATGTGCGCACAACCCTCACACCTCTCGCTCACGCGCGCATCTCGCGAGCCTTCGCCTCACTTATGTGCATGTTATCTTCTCGCGCCTACTAAGCACCTGTCTAGTTGACAGAATTTCCCTCCATTTTATTAGCGAGAAACTTCTCTCAGTAGCTGTCCTTTGGGTTGAGTCGTATTCTTGTGTCTAGGTCTTGCTGTAGAGTCCCCATAGGTTTTTTGTGTTTTCACCTATAGTCAAGATTCCTCACCTTCAATGGGTTCTAAGCTCGGATGAAGCCCAAGGTATCCTCCAACAAGCTTGGTAAGCGCGGCGGCTCGTCAAGCTGTAGGGCTAACAGATGTATGGCTAAGGTAGTGTCGGCTTGCCTTAGAAGTGTGGTCAAGACAGTGGGACTGGAGGTCACACTGAAAGGAGTTCTGGTGGAAAACCAAGTACTGGGATTGTACTAGTTCTAGGGAATACCAAGTATATCAAAGTAAGGAATACAATGATATGTGTCTAAGCTATATAGGTCTATCCTATAAGGTTCAGGAGAAGTCTGTATCTATGGATCTATCTAAGTCAAAGATAAGATGCCATGAAGCAGGTCTTCTATGTCAAGATAAGTACATGAGGCGCTCCAGCCTCTGAGTCCATCAATGCATGAGGCGGCATGCGTCGGTCTAGTTTCACATGAGGCAGACAGCCATCATGATGGGATCAGGAGGCCTTCTGGGCCATGGGTGATGTCATAGCAGCCTAGGCTGCTCTAGGTATCTGGCGGCATCCAGACTGCTCTAGGCTTCTGGTGGTGTTCCACCATGTTGGTAAGTTGTGAAGAGGGAACATAGAGTAAAGGCGGCATGTGATTGTAACACTTACTCTATGTTAACTTTTACCCGCTTTGGTGACCTCGGAGCTTTTTAGATAGAATAGGCCGCTCAAGGCCACTTCCTCAACTTCTTCCACCTTCTTGAATCCAACGATGGTCATGTAACTCATATGGGCTCAAATCAGTTCAAATCAGTTGTTTCCCATGGTAGTTGCTTTGGGTTTGAGAGTTCACCATGGGTGACAGCTACTTTCATATTGATGATCAAATTTGATTGTGTTCCCTTCACCACTTTTGTTTAGTTGTGGAGCTGGACAAACAAAAGAGTCCTACTTGCTAAGATATTTGGGCATGGGAAGTACCCAAAAATCACCACCTATCTGACGCTCTGCCTGACACAATTGTAGTGCTCTTGAAACTTGCTGCCATGCCTGCTAATACGACATCTAGTGGCATAGCACAAGCTACCAAGCTGTTATTTTCGGCTCTCTCAGGCTCTGTTGCTCAAAGAGACCCTTGGAAAGTGGATGTTCTTGTCTGCTCGCAGCAGCAGATGTTTCAGTAAGTGAATCAAGTATGCAATGCAGAGGTGGTACTAATTGTCATACAAACTTGTATACACAAAATCAAATCTGGTCTATCAATATGAAAGTAGCTATAAATTGATCAGAAAGGGCCACTCAGAGGGCCGCTCAGGGGGCCGTTCAGAGGGCTGTTCATACATATCTTTGAAAATATTTACAATTTGTCAATGAATTTACATTAGTGAATGTCAATAATTCTGTAAATTTATCTTCAGGCATATTACCGATGCAGACCCTAGGTCTGGAGTGCGTTTATTTATGCTTTCATTTTGATACTGTTACATATCACAGGCAAGTGTGAAACCTCTGTATCATCCTTTCTGGGAGGAACTTATGCACTGTAATATCTATCATATGATCATGCCAGATGTTCTTCACTAATTGTACTAAGATCTGGTCAAGCATCTTATCACCTAGAATAAATCAGCTTGCGGTGAGACTAAGATAGATATACACTGCAAACAGCTCCCTCCCAATCATAACATCTGTCTTTTCATGAAAGACATCTTAGTGCTGTCATGAGTCAGTGGAATGGAACACTAGCAACTATGCTGATTTCTACTTGGCATCATCTTTACATTCATTTGTCTGACAACACTTCCATAGTTAGACTTGTTTATGCTGTATGAGGGATCCTTGACTTTCTGTATCTCACTCAATATTCATATCACTCTTATTTATCTTTAGAGCTACTCAGTGATGCGCTTGATCAATTTCATAATAATGAATCTATCTTCATTAATTTAGGTATCTGCTTGTCATTCAACTCCATTCATCCTGTCACTACATCTCAATGGTTCATCTGTTGGGGACAATAGACAATTATAATACTGAATATACCAAACAGCTTTACATTAACCTAGCAAAGAAGAGCCCCTTCAGTGACAAATTCCGTATTATACGGGCCACCCGACCTACATAATATCCCGTATGAGACGGGCCAGCGGATTATGGGCCCATGTTGTGTATATTCTCGATGATGACAGATGGGCCGGGACACATATTATTTCCGATGGAGACGGGTGGGCCCATGTATGCCAATGATATATATATCCTTGATGTTGACGGATGGGCCGGGGGAATATGATCATTCATGGAGATGGGTGGGCCCATCAGGGTAATATGTAGAGTAGGATATTATAGACAGCTGGGCTGAAGAGAGATGTAAGGCAAATATTGTTATATAGACGGGCGGGCCGACGGGGGTGTATTACATATATGGGTGGGCCGAGGTAGGGGAATATTACATAGATGGGTGGGCTGACGCGGGGTGTATTACATATACAGGTGGGCCGACATAAAAAGTATTACATATACGGGTGGGCCGACGAAAGGGATATCAAATAGACGGGTGGGCCGAGGGTGTGATAAAATATTTATTACATAGACAGGTGGGCCGAGGTGGGGTATAATTATATAGACGGGTGGGCCAACATAGGATGTATTACATAGACGGGTGGGCCGACGTGGGGGATAATACATAGATGGGTGGGCTGATGTGGGGGAATTGTACATAGATGGGTACATATATGGGTGAGCCTAGATATGTATAAATGTCAAATTTTCAGTGCAAAACCCCAAACCGAGATTTACCAACCCCCGAACCCCGAAATTGTGGACTGCCGGGTCTCGGGTTTCGGGGTTCGGGGGTCCCGGAACTCGGAACTCAGTATGTGAGACAACAAAAATATATTTCAAACACGGGTAAGTCAATGTGTTTGTCAATCAACTTGATTGTAAATTATATTTTATTGATCTCCCCAAATTTCCCAAGTTCTGAGTTCCGAGCTCCGGGACCCCCGAACCCCGAAACCCGGCAGTCCACAATTTCGGGGTTCGGGAGTTGGTAAAATGTGTATGGATAGATGAAAGGTTGATTTAAACATTTTTGAAAGATGTCCCATATGAAATGTTAAGTCCCGAGTTTTGAACTCCGGGTTTCGGGACTCCGGGTTTCGGGACTTCGGGCTTCGGGACTCGGCACTCCAGAAACCCGGAAATCGAAACTTGGGACTTGACATTTCATATGGGATATCTTTCAAAAATGTTTAAATTAACCTTTCATCTATCCATACACATTTTACCAACTCCCGAACCCCGAAATTGTGGACTGCCGGGTGTCGGGTTTCGGGGTTCAGGGGTCCCGGAGCTCGGAACTCAGAACTTGGGAAATTTGGGGAGATCAATAAAATATAATTTACAATCAAGTTGATTGACAAACACATTGACTTACCCGTGTTTGAAATATATTTTTGTTGTCTCACATACCGAGTTCCGAGTTCCGGGACCCCCGAACCCCGAAACCCGGGACCCGGCAGTCCACAATTTCAGGGTTCGGGGGTTGGTAAAATGTTTATGGATATATGAAAGGTTGATTCAAACATGTTTGAAAGATGTCTTTCATCTCAAAAATCGAGTCCCGAGTTCCGGGTAAGACATCTTTCAAACATGTTTGAATCAACCTTTTGTATATCCATAGACATTTTACCACCCCCAAACCCCGAAATTGTGGACTGCCGGGTCTCGGGTTTCGGGGTTCGGGGGTCCCGGAACTCGGGACTCAATATGTGAGACAACACAGATATCTTTCAAAAGTTTGTAAATCAATTTGTTTGTAAATCAAATTTATTGTAGATCAAATTTTATTGATCTCCCCAAATTTCCCAAGTCCCGAGCGCCGACCCCCGAGACCCGGCAGTCCACAATTTCGGGGTTCGGGGGTCCCGGAACTCGGGACTCAATATGTGAGACAACACAGATATCTTTCAAAAGTTTGTAAATCAATTTGTTTGTAAATCAAATTTATTGTAGATCACCCCCGAACCCCGAAATTGTGGACTGCCGGGTCTCGGGGTTCGGGGTTCGGGGGTCCCGGAACTCAGGACTCGATATGTGAGACGACATATCTTTCAAAAGTTTGTAAATCAATTTGTTTGTAAATCAAATTTATTGTAGATCAAATTTTATTGATCTCCCCAAATTTCCCAAGTCCCGAGCACCGACCCCCAACCCCCGAGACCCGGCAGTCCACAATTTCGGGGTTCGGGAGTTGGTAAAATGTTTATGGATATATGAAAGGTTGATTCAAACATGTTTGAAAAATGTCTTTCATCTCAAAAATCGAGTCCCGATGTCCTGCATGATACGGGAATCATGCATGGACATAACTACTACTAGGAATAACCCTCAAAAGATTATGTCTGTTAGCAC